AACATATGATTGTCTCCTACTGAAACAGAAACAAATATATCATTTGAACCAATTAGAACATCTTATAGTGGTCACGTGACACAACAGCTCTTTTGTCATCAATCAACAAAAAAAAGCCCCTTACCAGTAGTCTGCTGAGTATTAAGATAATGCGTAATGTACGATACATTTTGTGATTGTAGAACGATTTGTTTTATATATTAATACTACTTATTACAAAAAGTCTAAATTTGTATCGACATTGAAAGTGTTTGTTTTATTTATTTAAACATTTATCAAATTCCAATAATCAAAAGTAATGATAATACTGTCAACTTTATAGAAATTATGAACTAAAGTGGCGTAGCATATAAAAAAGAACGGTTAGATTCAGTTAGTTACACAACACTCATCTTAAAGTTGGTGTGTGCAACAAGCATATAAGAATCGACTTGGATATAGTAACGGGAAACATTCCCATGCAATTATACGGCACAGTGGCAACCTATAAATTGATTCGTGACACACGGACGTTTAGAAACTCCAAGCAATTCTAGATATTTATATTGATTTTGATGTTCCCATAGAAAATCGGTTCGAGGAACGCTAGATTGCATATAGAAAGTGCACACATTCGCGAAATTCCACCTAAACGAGCGCAGAACGAAATATCGAGAAGCTACTTAACGAGGTATTTAATAAAAATCGTTTTACCGCGAACTGTTTGTATTGGGTTTCTGGTAGTAGGTTGTTGGAAAGGTGCATAACATGGAGCAGCAACCGTTCTCTCAAATAATAAGGTTTAGTTTATGGTCGCTTTCCGAGGTAATAAAGTAAAGGCGATAATGCAACCTCGTATAATACGTACCTATTCAACTGCTTCAACTATTCATATTTACAAGTGGCCTTTTCAACTTTAAAAAGACTCCAACCAAATAAGTTGTTCGAAAGTAATTACTTTCAAATTGGTTTTGCAACCAAAAGAATATATCTTATTAAGTTTTAATATAAAGTACTTTATATGGAAATGACATATTTTCTTAGAAAATAAATCGATTTTGTAATAATAATAACCATTTTGGAATGCAATTTATTCAATTAAAAAAATAATATCCGACTCATGGATATTTATAGTCATCTAAAAATAGGAGATTTTTTTTATCAAAACGTAGATTAAATTGGGCATCTACAATAGATAAAACATCCGAAATATAACTTCCTGTTTCATATCACTACTTTTTAAGCAACGTTTATTTTAATTATTTTTAATTAATTAGGAATTTAGCGTTACATATTCAAAATGAATCAAATTTAAAGTACAATAATGATAAGTTATAAACCCTTAATGACCTGATTAACCATAAATTGGTTAGAAAATAAATTAAAGGAATTTGAAGGTTAAAGCAAAATAACTAAGAAGAATTGCAACTAAGACTAAAGTAGTTGTTGTGAAGATATGCAAATTCAATAGCGGTAAGACCATCTTTGCGTGAGCTTAACCGGCGTATGCAACGAACGTGTTAATGGACCTTTTACGACCTTCGCCGACACTTAAGCTATTAAGCTAATTTAATTTGTCTCGGCGACTTATGCGATATTTACCTTATAGTCCGATTCAAACTACTTAAAATGAAGAATGTACAAGACGTCATGCAGAACATTAGGTGTAAGTGCATGAATTTTACTCGCAAAGCTATTTTGATCTATTTTAAATTTTATGGAATATTCGTACAACAAAATAGATTATTTTTATGGTAGAAAGTGAAACCTTTTAACGATGTTCAGTCAACAAAACATTTTACACCTAAACGTCCACACCTATTTTTGGATATAACTTAAGGCATTATTCGATAACATCTAAATCATCTTTAGAAGAATTTATATGAAGAAAAATATTAAATCAACCTCATCATAAGAAAAGAACTTCTAAACCGATTTCGAGTAACAATATCTCATTTGAAAGCTTTATCCTTGGCCAATACAGTAATGAAAATACCCGATTCGAAATTGCTTCCGAATTTTGCTAAACCCCAAAATAGTGAGAAGATACACGAAAATAACGAAAAAATAACCTGTTTATGTGGTTTTAAGTTTTAAATGATATTATTATTTATGGACATTTAACAAATCCAAACAAACAAATTTAACAAATCCAAAAACCAACGTGATATGAATCATCCGATCAGAATGTAAAATGGTCAACGGCCAAGAAGAGATGAAGACCCTCATCAAATGTGTTTACTGACGTAAAAATTTAAAAATTCAGACCTCCGTTTAATTACAAGATTGAAACTTAGAAATTGAGTATTGAAGTACAGTGTGTTAATTAATTATCGTACCCGGCGTTATCATTGCAAGTATGCAACCAATATCACAGTATTGGTATTGCAATACGCGATTTGCGTATTTGGTTGCATAGCATCTCATCTGTCAACCTTAGATGCGCGGATAATATAATCTTATATCAGACGATCTATTTACTCGTCTATAATCTTTGGAAACGTCGCCCAAAATCTTCTAAGATAACCATGGTTCCTTTTTCGTTCTGCAATCAGCAGGATTGCCATGGTTCTGGGTTGTCTTATTTTGTTGGTGCGAATACGCTCCTTTAGAAACTTAGTAGATGAAACTCATGGACTATTTTGGTTCTTATTTTGGGAGGTGTAAATCAAAGTTTTGCCAGCTTCATTTTGTCATCAAAGTACTGACACGGAGTCTTATCCTCAGTTTTAGTATTCCGGCGATACTCTATAGAAGCAGCACTATATGAGAAGACGATCATACCTTAGTGTAAAAAATAAATAGATTCTGTATCACTCCATCCTAAAGTCTATATATGTATGTGCAGGACTGATGAACTGGACAGTAAGAGCCATATACAAAAATACAACGTTTTCAATCTGAAATGCTACGACAAATACTTTACGCAGCATGGTACGTAACAAACAAAGTGATGGATATGGACTAGTTACAAACGTACTGGTCCGAAATCTGTAAGAATAGCTACACTTAAGATGTATAACAAGGTCACACCTGGTGGACCTTATACAATAATTCTTCTTCAATACTTCAATACATCAATACATTATGTATATTATAATATGGTGTACCCAGTGGTGTACCATCACTTGTCTTATTTTTTCAAAATGTTTAAAACCCTCTCGCCAGTAATAATCAAACTTCTTAAACCATAATCCTTCTAAATTTTGTAATTCAGCCTTTTCTAATATTAACCATATTACCTTGACTATGCAGATTATTTTGAAGAATTACGGAGAACTTCTAATTACAAAACATACACATTGTTGGAATTCTATTTAAGCTTCTAAAATTAGTTATGAAAAAGGTTTTTAAAAGCCTCCTGATTAATCATTCTTAATGATAATCAGTACTAACAAAACACGCTAAAAGTAATTTACAATTGCGGTTGAACAGGAATGGAACTTGATATATTTCTACATTAAGTAACAAGAAATTCCTTACTTAATTTCCTACTCAAGTTTACATCTAACTTAACTTATCTTACGTAATTGTTATAACAATAAATTAGATAAACCTAGAAATGTAAACAACATTAAACAATTTACTTCCGTCACTTTTATTTTACCTTTACAAATTAATTGTCATTTAACACTATTGAAGACATATTCTTATTCTACACCATGCTGTTATAAGTTCTATTCGAAAAGTCATTTATTAATTGCTGACAATATGAGTTGCAGAATTATTGCACTATTAGCAAGTCGATGTGGTCGCCTAATCAAATATACTGCACTTACATCTGCATACAATGATGCTCCGTTGAGACATAGCTCGATCGATACCGCTAGTCTCTTTGTTCTCACCAAGATTTAGCGCCCATAATTGCCTATTAAAAGAGTATGGAATTCAGCTAGTAAACTTTTCTATTATACCGACCGTCATCCATGTAATTAAGAGGATGCCGACAATTCTACTAACATAACTTATTAATGTCCATCTTTATTAAAGAAGCAATCGGAGTAAGTGCTGCTTTAAACTCGGATATCCACTTGTATTTAACTACTTATTTGGATGAGCTATTCAATTTATTTTAAACCGGTACAATTTGAATTTGGATTTAATTAACTGCAAAACAGTATTCTAATGGTCATGATTTTCCAATTGGAAACAACCCAGTACGGCGTTGTTGTTTAGAACATTCCGGTACAAGAAACTGGAAGCTAACTTCTGCGAACACTCTCATAAAAATCGCACCGCGAGATGTTGCAGTTAACCGGACGTCTTCGTCCAGTTTCCTACATAGTCTTGAACCGATATGCTACACAGTACCCGACCTCTTCTCAAGTGGGTTTAATTTAGAAATGTCCAACAGTTCCTGTATAAAGATATCAAATTCAATTAAAATGCCTAAGATGTTATTTCCACTCGTTCTTAGTACACATCTGCTGACCGCTTTCCCACCAACTTTAATTTTTTTTAACTCAATTGGGTTCGGCAGTAACAACAGGTTTAAATGGATTAGGTTTTAGACCAGTAAAAATACAATTAACGAAGAACTCATTTATATCTGCATACATTCTTTTTATATTTTTCTACAAATTAATGAATCAAGATAAATGAATTTGGTCAATTTAAACTGTTTTCCATAACGTGTAATTTATTAATCTGGCATTCTTTAAAAAAAACTCTTATCGTCGCCCATTTAAAGTGATAATTATGGCTGTGGTTGCGTCGTTCGGTGTTAATTTAGATTTATGGTGGCGCTGGACCTGGTTCTCATGTTCAATTAAATTCTCGTAGGCTTTAATGGTGGTTTACATTTATTAAAGTTTAAACCTAACCGGCCGAGCGCAGATAAATTGCTTGTCGGACCCGTGCAATTTTACACTTTATCACTGGCCAGAGTCGCGAGTCAGAAATGTGCAACATCATCTTCTTTGAAACACTCTTCCTTAACGATTTTTATTAATAAAATCTAAAATTTAAACAACCTTTTTTTAATAAATGAATTTTTAAATTTACCTTTTTTTTTGTTTTAGGCTTGTGCTCCAAGATATGTTTGGTTTACCATGAGGAGCTCTCCACGTAGGGATCCCGTGGGAACGTGCTTTGTAGCCAGAAACAACTTCCAGAACGTCTCGGAGTACGCCCCATGTCGAACGTGTAAGTAGACCGGAAACGGCTTGTATTATGCGAGAACCGTGAAATCGAGTAGACGAGATTTTTCTTAGAAAATCTTTATAAGGACCGCAAACAAGAGAACCATATACACCGCGACTGCGGTTGCAACTTAATATATTTTGCGTGATTTCTTAGTTTATCGATTACACGGTTCTCGGATACATTTTAAGATGCAATCGCATAAATTTGTTTAACTCTTTAAAACATGCACAGTAATGTAATACATTGACAGATTCGGCGTTATTTATCAAAGGTGGAAACTTTACTATGATACTTAACATAAATTGAGTAGAAATAATGAAGTATATTTGAAATACATTTATTTTTAATCGTTAAATACATGCGTTTTTTAAGTTATTGAGTGCGAAAGATATAAAAAGCCGGTGAGATATGTCTCGGTGACATTGCAAATGAATGCTAGTAATTAAAAATCAATCAGAGTCATTAGAAAGAATTGGTAATCAGTGTTAGAAGATGAAGTGTTGTAGTAGTCATTGGGGCCTAATGGAAGCGTTAAGCTTTAGATATTGAAAGCTATTAAAAATAACAGGTTTTAGTGGAATATTTTGCAAATAATTGTATAGAGCTACTAACAAAAGATATTGGAAGCTGATCAGAATTATAATAGAAATAGACATGCACTGAGAGGTGTACTGAGAACCAGTGAAAGATATTAAAAGTTTCCACAAAAACATATAATAATTGGTGTAGAACTCATTAAAATTCATGATACTAGGAATGATTAACAGCTAGTGACAGTTTTTCTGAATCAGTTAGTGATATTGAAAAGTGCCTCATCAAGAGCCAATTTTGAGTTAGTAAGGTATTGATAAATTGATGCTAGTAAAAATAGATATATGACCAAATGAAAGTCATTGCTAGCTATGGGGTGCTATTCAAAGTCAGTGAGAGATATATAATTGGGAGCATTTGAGAAGTGTTGAAAATTTTGGAAGCTATTTGGAATCAGTGAATCTAGTAAAAACGAAAGGCATTAGGTACCATTACTAAACGATTAGCACCTATTTGCAGTCAGTGAGAGACATGGAAACCCATTTAGAGTCTACAAAAGCGAAAGGTTGCGGAACCCGCTAAGAGCTAGCTATAAGGAAAGACATTGGTCGTTATTTGGAATCAGTAAGACACATTGCAATGTAATTAGGAGCCATTGTGAGGTGTTGAAAGTGTTAATAAACTTAAGGGATTGCTGGTAACATGGATCCAGTAAGAACGAAAGGTATTAGATATCATTGCTAGCTATTGAAATCTACGGGGAGTTAGTGAGGGACATTGGAATATAGGAGAGCCATTTAGAATCTACAAAAGCGAAAGGTTGCGGTAGTCGCAGAGAGCTAGCAATAATAAAAGCTATTGAGAGTTATTCGGAATCTGTAAAAGATATTGGGATGTAAGTGAGAGTCAATGAGAAGTGTTAAGCGCGTTTATATGCGTTTGGATTTAGAAGTAACATAGATTTAATAAAACTCAAGACGTAATGAGCCATTGCTAGTTATTCAAAGCTTTTTGCAGTTATTGAGGGTGCTTATAAGGTACTGAGAGCTACTAAAAGCAAATATTTTGGTATGCGCTGTAAGCCAGCAATAAGATATTGAGAACTATTTGGAATTAGTAAAAATCATTGGGATGTAATCACAGCTTATGGAAGTAGTGCCAAAACCTATTGATAGACATTACTAACTATAAGAAGCTGTTTTAGTGTCGATGAGAGATTATAAGCTGTTGGGGGTAATTGGAAGCCACTAAGTGTTGAGGTAGTAAAAACAAATATGTTGGGAGTCATTACTAGATTGAAAGCTATTCGGAGTCAAGCTATTCACAACAAAGTCATTACAAAGTCATTAGACCTCATTTAACAGAAATTCAATTGTCAAGTAGCAACATGATGCATTTAAAGTTTTATATTTCATTATGATATCGCATTAATTTTTGGTAATATAGTGCTTTAAAACTTCCAATGTATTCAAGAAGTTTCAAAAAAACCATGGTTTTAACTTATATTTTTTATAGCAAACTAATAATGTATTAAACAAAAATGATAAATTATTGATTACTGATTCCAAATAACTCTCAATAGCTTTTATTGTTGATTCTAAATGGCACTCCTATATTTATGACGTTAATTTTTCCAATAATTTGTTATAAATAATTTAAAAGTTAGTTATTCTACTCTTTCGCCACAACATTATTGCTTAACTTGCGGTTATAGCCGATAAGTCAACTTCTTGGCCTGAAATGAAACTTACCCGGAAATTGTCTATCAAGAAACGTAATCTAGTAATCTGAAATCACTCCCCGTCCTATTTTATTTACGCTAAATCGCAACACACGTCCCGGAATAATCGCTAACCGCAAACCGTATACGGGATTAGCATATTCCCGCGACCCACTTCCTCGATTCACGCCAGATACACGTAATTAAATTACATCAACTTTGACGTATGGGTAATGAGATCACGTCTCCTAACGTGAAATCTATGGCGTAACATCGCGCGAAATGATATTGTAATATAAATTGAGATTCGCTTCTTGGTATTTCTATTTACCGACTCGTCTAAATCTACATGTCTCTACATGGCTTTCCGGATTCAAGTTGAAAGCACATCAGATATAACACATATTCAAAGACTTGTTTACACATGAAACGGAAAGAAGCCATGTGCACTAATTTAACATCTGTTAAAAGTGCATGGCACGTGGTGTGACTTTGGTTCATAACTCATCTGAGGTTTACATTGTGGTCACAGTTTTTCCCCATTATTATTGGATATATCAACACCAAGTTATAATTAGGAGTATTTTTTATAATGAAATGTTCAAAATTCATTAATTTATGCATGAAAAAGATTTTGGGGATGTAATAATTAATTAAGAAGAGGGTTATAATCCCTAATTTTTTCTTATCGTTTTATCAATCAAGATATATTTCGATGTAGCATGTTTACTAATAATTATATGTCAAGGTAATTAATCTATGTTAAAAATTTATTAATACTTATAATAATTACTTTATTATCACTAATAATTATGAAAAAGGGAATAGTGCAAATTTTGATTAAGTATATAATATCCATAAAACAGATAAGCGTCGTCTTAATTTTCCACTAAAGTTTAACAAACCGTGTAAATCGTCTAGGAATTAATGATTCACCCAATTAAAAGTAAGGAATTTCTTCGATAAACCGCGTCCGACCTACTTTTGCCACACCATTAAATCGCCGAACAAAATTGTGTTAGCCTTAGCTTAGTTTTACGTTCTTCAAAGGCTCGTTCCATTTTTATACCAACCCATTCGGTCATTAACTCGTTGTCCTACTTAAACTTCCCGTCATATTTCCAAAATTTCTCTACAAACATTATTTAGCAATAACAAAGATTTATATTTATTAGTTTATAAGACGTATTAGGAGCATTTTACGATTTAGATGGTTCTCAGGTAACAAAGCAATGTAAACGTACTATCATAAGTTTTCTTGTCTTCCTGAAACTAATGGTGACTCTTTCAAAATACTTCCAGTCAATTTCCTGTCGTAAACCGGTCTATTTCCGACTTCTAAGTGCTTTCTATCGTTCCTCGTCTTCTATCGCCCTTCGTTAGTTTCTCTTCGAATCGTATAACGTCTAAATTAGGTTCGGAATTGGCGCAACTTGGTACTCTGCGCACGAACCCCTATAACTAATTGGAGACATGTGCAGCGTATTGTTGAGTCTCTGAAGCACGTTCTGTTTCGTCAATTCGAGAACGTATTTTTAGAGGACGTTCTCTCATTTTTTACTGGTAACGAGACAAGGAGAAATTTTTAAATCGAAAATCGACTTCGAAGATCCAGACGTCGTACTGGCAAATTACTTTAGAAATAATTGGACGAAGCCAATTATTCCGTTTACTATTATTGTTCGAACCTCTCTAGTGAATATAAACATTGGCATTTATCAACAATCTATCGTAAAAACAACGAGTAAGTTAATCTCTAAAAATACCTGTTAAATAAATATTTATCTTTCGAGATCTTGAAACCGAGGTTCATTCTATATAAACGGTAAAAGTAAAAAGAACGTAGTTTTGACTCGAATTGGATAAATTCATAAACATCTGGAAAACAGACTTAAGATATATTTTTTTGGAAACAAAAGAATACGTGTCAAAGTGAGTTAACATAAAACATATTTTGTTTCCTCTCTTTACGGTTTCCTAGAAAGGTCAGTTGTACTTCATCTGGTCAAGCTTCTAAAGTTACGTCGTTTAAATATTTTTCGGTAAGAAGTAGGTAAAACGTCAGAGAAACATGTGTTTTGAACAATACCATCGTAAATTTCTGTCGGGAATTATGTCCATTCGGTTTTTACCATCCAAAATGTACACAATAATTCCAAGAATAACCGTAAACTCCTTTTTATTCCAAAGATGTACACAAAGAAGTATTTATATTCTTGCGTAAATTGTGACACAAATTTAATTAGGTAAATAAATCTAAAGTCTACATAAAATTAACTCTCATCAAAAAATAACGAATGTGGTGTAACCGTTACCGTTAGAGATGTTATCTATCAGATATCACAGGGGGAGCCATCCCTCACATAAACTTGAAGAGTGTTGTTGAAAGACACGTTTTTAGACTGTTAATTTTACCATATCCTTCGCATCATCCAGCATTGGACGTAAAAACTACCTAAACCAACAGTGATTGACATTATCAAGGGTTGTCTACAGCAAAAAATATATCGGTATCCTTAAAAACGTCAGGGTGTAGTGTGTTACGAAGAGATAAAGTAGATAAAAAAACGGAGACCATAAATTAACGGAAATGTATGAAATTCTTTAGTAGAGGAAAACATACATTTTTTTGATTAAAATTATAAGAAATTTTTCTTTCTTAAACGATAATTTGGCATAATTAAATATCAAATATCAGATCTTCTAGAACTCTGTTTAGATGGCCACTATTTAAACGCTAATGAGTGAAACTTATATGTCAATTATGCCTACACATTCATCTTAAAATACATGGAAGATATGGAAATAATTATTGGCCTTATTAATTAGAGGCTATTTTTAAAATAGAGAAGACGATCTTATTGAATGGTTTGTAGCAAGATGAAGGTTTATTACATTGTCTTGGAATTACTGTTTTGCATAAACGAAAATATCTTAGACTCAGCAAACGCTTAAGAAATTTACGATGCACAAAAACCTGCCAAATGCCTGCCACGTTTTAATGTCTAATCGATATAGCGTATATTCAAAACGCCTGATCCAAGCATGGAGTCGTGATATACCAACCAAAAGGAATTCACGTTTTGCTTCTTTTTGCAATATAATATCAGCGTTATTCATATCTTTGGGTTATACATCACACAGGTAACATCTCTAAGTCGACGAGGAAGACGATACAGCATTGTAAATTTCCCGTCTATCATATAAAGTATTAAATTTAAATTTACAGAAATTTCTAAAGAATCTAAAAAAAATTTAATTGGATGGAAAGCAGTAACACAGAATAACAGAATAAGTTATTCTGTGACATTAATTTGATTATTTATGTTATCAACCTCATTTTATTAACAGAAATTATTCTCTCAGCAAAAAGATTTTTACAAACTACGGTATTTAAATCATTTATAGAACAGCAAATTTGTAAAGGGACTATAGAAATGCTAAATAGATGATATTGTTTTGAAAAAACCTAAACATCTCCCTGCTGTTAAGATTTCCTCACAAAGTAAGAATTCAGGATAGTATCCCATACTATTTCACTCCACACCTTGATCTTTTGCGGATATTGGGTGTGCGACTTTCTTTCCCAATGTGCATTTTGGGTAGCCCAATACCGACAATTTTCTCTATTTACTTGGCCACTCAATGTGAATGTTCTCTCATCGGAAAAAATATGTTTTTGACAAAGTCTTTGTCATGGTAGCAAAATTGTTGTTGGAAAAACTACTCACGACTCATTGATCGTGCATGAGGTTTACTTTATAGGCATAATATTTTGCAGTATTTGTAACATAAGGGATTCCTTGCCCAGCCAAAACCACCTTTTGTTGAACCTCCCTTGAAACATTTGGTCGGGCAGACATTGAGAAATATCGAAGATATCCATGCTTTTTAAATTCAGTCACAGCTAGGCTTACCAACTACTGAGCTAAGCAGTTTTCGATCAGGAAATGTTGCATTAAGGAGGTCAACTAGTTACTAAATCATTTTTTGACACTTAGAAAATTGTTTAAAATAGTTGGTTACCATAGTTACTCATGGCACTTTAAATTGCTCACTTTAAAGCAATTTTGCATGCTTAAATCTGTGGTATGGAGGAGATAATTTGTGTTTTAATTCTTCAGCCTTATTCTTTAATTTTCCCGAAATTGTTGCTTTTTTAATTCAATCGCGGCTGAATCTCTTTTTTCGTCCTTCCTCAATTTCATCTCCACAACCATACTCAATAATTGATTGTAGAAGGCATCTAAGCTTTTAGTGTTTTAGTTTAAGGCCACTTGAAATGAATAGTTTTTAGGTCGACTTCGTTTTGTGCTGGATGTACTTGAAATTTTAAACATGTCTTCAGAAAAGATAATGTTTTGGTTAAGCCAAACGAGGTTGACGAAAAGAAAACGTAGTCGGTGTCAACCAACTTTTCTCTATATGGTATTAATTTGTTGACAACATTTTTTTAACTATTACTAGAATAGTACAGTAGACCCACCTATACTGGTCATTCCAAATATACATAAAGATTATAAGCTAACGTCTACTATAAATCTATTAAATACTGTATAAGAAGAACTTATTTTTGTACAAACAGCGATCGATGAGAATGCAAATATTATTGAGGAAACTTCAGAACAACTTATCTTAGCAAATAAACTTTTGCATCTATATTAAACACAGAAAGAATAATTACAAATAACATCTACAATAACTAAAATTTGATAATCAAGTCATATTAAAGCAATCACACTGACAATCATTACAATAATAATTTAATTCTCAATTATCTCGTTTTTATAATCTCCAATACAGATTAATTGGTAAAATATTTGAACACATTGAATGGTAATTTATTTATTTCAAAATAAGACATTTCGATTTGTTTCAGCAAATTGGGGTTATAACAGACAAGGATGGTGTCAAGCAGGATTTAGTGCAGCCATTTCCAAGGTAAGTTCTAAAGTCTTGCGAGAACTCGATATCGTGAGTTGGAATCCACGCCAAACAGACATTCGTATCCATCAGGCAACATCTCATACGGTACCGGCATGGAAACGTCTTGTACGTTCGCGTTGGTCGGCATTTATGCACCTTTGTGCTCCGCGGCCACAATTAAGCGTAATTTATATGATGTAAATATAGCAAAACGTGCTAGAGATCAAAGAACGCTCGGCGACCCTTTTGTTTCGGTGTAGACATCTTTCGATGCGAACTTGGTAGAGAACCGCAAAGTAACGCAACTTTATGTCCTCATACGGAAGGATTTATCGGTGTCACGGCGCGGATAAGTTAAATGTTAAAACTTGTGCCGGTATTGCACCAAGAGAAGTGAAACCCGTTTGAATTTCTCAAGCAAACTCCTCCGAGAACGTTTACGTTAAAAATGATTTCGAAGAATATTTAACAAAAGTTTGTTTGCGTATTAATGGAAATACCGCAGCTGCAAAGATTTAAAAATAAACTCCAGCAAAAATCAAGGAGAAGCTAATGTATATTTCGGTATTTTTTGTTTATTACAATTTTATTTCAAATAATCGAAATTCTCCGAAAATTAAAATTATCTTATAAAGAATCGAAATAAAACAAATCATGACATGCATAAAGAAACCAGTCCTACGATTAACGAGAGAGGTACCTTTGTTACCAATATGGCCAAGTCTCCCGTTCCTATCTACGTACCGTATATGAACGTTGTTGTTTATTATGCTATTCGTCGAATTTTTCTGCAATTATGCGGGCGCACGCTCTCGGTATAATTTAATAATATTGCGCTTTAAATTTCAAATCTCGTTGCCCCCGGTCCCGAAGCACAATGAGTCCGGTCATCCGCAAATCGTTCCCTCGTTTCCAGACGTCACAACAGGAATTAAGTGCACACGACTGCGCAGACAAACGCGCGCATCCGCTCACGGATTACATCGGAAGATTCCTGGTCTTTGCTAACACTGTGTTTTCATTACGAACTATTTTGCGATTGTATACGTTCATGCCGGATATCCCCATCTAACTTGGTCATGTAAAAGTTTGTTAACGCCATAACAGTTACTATTAATATCTTTTGACGAGTAGATTATGTGTATAAGAAACTAAATGTGGTATCCTAGTGTGTTGAATATGCATATTAAGAGAAAAATGTTTTTTGTATATAAGTTATATTTATTGCATCCGTAAGCAACATCCTGAATTTGTAGAGTTGCGTGTGACTTGTTCATTTGTCCGTCCGCCGTAAATATCCAAGCAAGAACTGCGTTCTTGTCTGTTGACCCTGTAGGTCAAGATTTTTTGCGCGCATTACCAGTCGCATTTTCCAGATTTGCCATTGGAGTGCCCGAAGGACCCAGCGGCATTCTAGTAATCTCTCTCGTACAAGATGTGTTGAATTATGGCCGTCCGTACTTAATACAACTGTGCATTTCGGATAAAATAAAGAAAACACAACGAATACAACGGACAAAAATTCTTGTGTCACCTAATTTGGTAAACGCTTTTACGTCTTCGCTTCGTTGCCAACTCAAAATTATAACCCATGATTTTACTGTTAAAAATCATCAAGTCCGCGAAATTTTGTTTTTGTTTCTCTTTGAATTATAATTTCGTTTAAGTATGTACGGCATTTCAACTTGTCATTTTGATGGCGTCTCGAACGATTTTCAATGAGGTTCGAAAAAGTTGCAGCAAGAAACCGCGCTCGTTCTGTCACAATTAACTGAAATTAGAGAGGATAAAATGAAACGGCGTCGACCGCGGCAATTACATTCGCGGCGTGACTTTTTCAAGTGGGTACGAACTTGTTCGGCCATGCCCAGATACGTAAACGTACCGAGTTTCGCATCCACGTCGCGGCGCTTATAAATCTGTCCGCGTCGGTGACGGACGGACCGTCATCGTCGATGAGAACGTGAGACGGGAACGCATCGCATCGCATCGGGGGCCTCTTCAGGTCTGTATCCGTAATTCATACATAAACATGGATGCGGTGGCGAGGCTCGACGGGGGGCGCAAAAAAAGCCCCGCACAGGCCTTAAGTGTAATCGCTCGGATGCCAAACAAATTATTCTTTACCAAATCTGGACGGCCGCCTTTCCGTTTCCTAGAACTCATCCATCGAAAGAATGGCCAGGTTAGAATGGTCGCGCTGACAATAAAATACGATATGACAAATATCTGCGTACGCTACGGTATGTCAGGAATGACCCTAAGTACATCCCTATATGGTCTACTGGCATATACCGACTGGCCACCGTTGGATGTGACAGTGTTGAAATGGGTAATTCGATGATCACTTCTTTCGACATATTATGTGCTCTTCAGGAATGCTACATGTAAAAAGAAAAATAAGTAAATACTTCATAGGTATATTTCTGGTTAAAAATGAGTTTGAGTTAAAACTACAGCTAACACTAGACCTAGAATTAGAAACATTCGGGTTTAGCCGTACGTCTCTTAAGACGGCTAAACCTGAATGTTTCTAGTTCTAGGTTTAGTGTTAGTTCCGGAATTTGTTGTTATTTAGTGCTAACATTCTAGATTCATTGAACTAAAACTAGAGCTAACACTAGACCTAGGACTAGAAACATTCGGGTTTAGCCGTACGTCTCTTAAGACGGGTAAACCTGAATGTTTCTAGTTCTAGTGTTAGTTCTGGCTTTTGTTGTTATTCAGTGCTAACATTCTAGATTAGAAGTCTTTTTAAAGCTAACTTAAAAACTAATCTTTTTGGGAATGAACAATAAATTAAAAAAAAAACCCAAATATTTCTAGTTCTAGGTCTACTGTTTGTTCTAGTGCTAATGTTAGTTAGCAATGGTGTGGATAGCTGTTCGAATTTGTGTGCATTATACAACAATCTAGCGCTGAATAACAACTAAAACTAGAGCTGACACTAATACTAGAACCAACACTAAACCTAGAACTAGAAACATTCGGGTTTAGCCGTCTTAATAGACGCACGACAAAACCCGACTGTTTCTAGTTCTAGGTCTTGTGTTAGTTCTAGTGCTAATATTAGCTAGCAATGGTGTGGATAGTTGTTCGAATTTGCCAGTATTAAAATTATTCATTGAAACAGTTTTATTGTACTTAAATCTCTTCAACACAAATTTCAATTTATTGTATAGTATTTTAAAATCTAATTTTATTTCGCTTTTGTAAACCAAGTTAAAATATTTTAAGATAGCAACTTACATTTCCCATATATCACCGTGATGTAAAACATGAGCAAAACGAAACTGAAACAAAACAGAGCGGTCCATTAAGTTGAGCCTTTATCGAAAGTCCACACACATTGTCGTCACACGTTAATACGCCGTAGAATGGATTCTTGTTTAAGATAACGCAGCCCATCGTTATAAGTTACCCGACAAGTGCAATGGTTAAGTGGTTCATTTAACATTTCACCACCAAAATAACGCCATTATCTTAAAAGGTTTGTTATCAATTTGCTTCGTTGAATAATCTCCTATGCATGTGCTTTGCCAACCCGACTTAACTTTTTTTTTTCGAAAATCTGTGTATTAAGGTCATTAAATGGTGCTTTGGTAACTTTTTACAATTATGTCATTCACTTAAAAAAGAATTAATCCGGATAATACATTTTCGATGCATACCCATGACAAGCCACGGTGAGTCGAATATTCATGAACAATGACAATCATCAATCCCAATATAATTCTACTATAGATTTGTTGGAATAATACAGCCAATTGTTCTGTTGACTGATCTTCACGACTCTTGACACGGCATTAATGACTACAATGATGAATGTTAAAAAAATTCATAAACTCGTATTGAGGGAGAGTTAAAAAAAATTAAATTATGTTAATTTTCATAATTATGCTTGTTGTAAGCTTGTAATTGATAATTAGCTATCATCATTAGGTATTGCTTTACGTCGCCCCTTGGACTAAGTTGTAAAGTGGTCACCTTAATAGAAACAATAAAGATTCGATCGAGATGCGATCTCAGCGTGTACCGGAGGCTTTTAAAATCGTGTTCCGGCGCGCCTTTTTTGCTCGTGCCGAGAATTCGCCCATATCGCCGTCGATACGAATGGTCTCAGATCTTATCTTGACGCGTTGATATGACCATCTCGGCGTAACGCTTTTTAAGTATGCCCATAAAACCCGACGACGGTCATATTGTGTCCGAGCGCCGGGAATGCAAATTCCTTGTAGGTCCTAAGCGTACAGAAGCCGTGAGCGGCCATATTTCAGGCGCCCCAGAGGGGATTCCCCCGGTCTTCGGATTTTATGGCTCCGCCATACACCGACACTCGCGTTCGCTATATGGCATCGCGCCGCTGTGTACGTATTGTTCGTCGACAGGGCGCCGATGCGCTCACGATTCATTACTAATTGTTATTCGTGTTCGGCCCTTTTAAGCTTCGTACTGTCGTCAGTTTAAATTTGTAATTGTTTCATTGTAAGGAAAGTTTTTCCTCACGCTCTTTCACTTTAAGTAATGACTCTAAAGAACAAATACTAAATAGTTATAGTGTTGAATCACTCAACAAATTCCAACTTATGTAATCAATGTAGTTGGAGAAAAATGCAACAAAAACTACAATATACAACAAAAAGGAACATACACGACCCAACGTTAATATAGAAACATTTCTACATATCTAGATATAAACAAGTGTCGAAATCTAAAGTTTGTAGCAAAATTATTATACTTAAAGGTGACTCTACAAAAGTACTTCGCTGCCGTGCATATAAAGAAAGGTGTGCTAAAATAACCAACTCAACCATTATCGGTAGCACTAAAAAAAAGAGTGGTTGTTGAAGGTCGTAACTGTTAATTTTGAAGATGAATTTACTCATTTAGTACCTCTTATCCCAATTTTCCCTTACGGGGTATTTCTTATTTATCCCAATCAAGAAGATAGGTCTTTGGATGATGTCATCTCTCGAATGGCCGCATAAAATGGACTCCCATAATAAAGTTTTTATTACGTCTAGGGATTTAAGATAAGTATTTCTACATCAACAATATAAGCATTTATCGATATGATCAACAATTAAGATAAAGCCATAAAATTTGGAATATACGGTTAGTACCAAAGTCAAAGGATATTTGCCCGCAGAAAAATCTATTAATCTTCAGATCAACGATGAAATACTGAATTAGGTATACTTATTCATTGCAATAATCGTGTTTTGCTCATAGCATTCAACTTGCAGTGAGTACCACTATTTATTCCCAAGATGGGCAAAATGATAAGATGGGCACAAGTAGTAGTAAGGACGACTATTATTAAAGATGACGATTTTGATAATTGAAGACAATGAACGAATACAAATCAGCACCTCAGAGGTAAAGTGTGTTAAGTCACATTTTTTTGCGAAATGAGTTATCTTCACCATGTGTATTTGTTTAGACATTAAGTCCACTCTCAAATCTCTCCTTAACAATTTCGAGTTTGTTTCGAGTCTGACAAAAGTAACCAAGATTGTAAAGTTATTTAAGTAACGTATTTGTAAAGTTCTCCAGAATTATGTATATGAGAAACACTGCAAAGAATCTTATTTTAGACTACAAAATGCTTAGCTTTGTTTTTAAAAGACTCATTCAGAAACCTTATGATTGATGCATACTGATGAATCTCAATGGCCATGATTTTGAGATTTCATCATTTTGAGAGAATTACACTCAGTGTTCATGTCATGTAGATATCGTTTAGCCTTCTCTAAATTTCCCTTCAAATGAATTTCTTTCTGATCAGGCATACCTCGTATTAAGGAACAATGCTTTGATGAAATATAAGTTAACAATTATCAGATTTGTCTTGAACTCCCTAAATAAATGCCCTAGATAAGCAGATCTAATTCAGTATTTGATATTTTTTTGGTGGTGTGATTTCAATTTCAAAATCATAGATTTAGACATAGGTTGATGATATACATTTATCATACATTAACAACCATAAGCATTTGATAGATTTGAATTAAATTTTGAACTTCTTTCAAAGTTAGTGTTATGCTTGTCAAAAAGGGCCATTGCTTTGCCATGGTGCTCATGTACTTATAAAAGTATTTTCTTTGTCAAACTTTTAGATGATTCAATATAATTGCATTGTTACTTATTCTTGTGTTTCAAGGCTTAACACATCTTCATTAGTCAGGCACCTATCAAGGGAAGCAAAGAATTTATTTCCATCTTCTGATTTTACGTCAAGATTTAAATCTTTTGTCATTTCGTTCTATTTCTTACAATGTTGCCCTTTATTATGGTGATAGGATCATAGACGTCTTACATTAAAATCATCAACTACTCTTGGACATCACTTTTTCCATGCTTTCTGTATTGATACAGTATTTCGTACTATTTTAATACAACCTAAAATGTGACAACTCTCCCAAAAAAATTATACGATATCCTTACCTCTGCCTTCACTATCTATTGCTGCTATACATTGACTAAAAGTTCGTTTTAAATAATTTAGGTAGTAACCTCAAATACAAACCAATTCTTAAACCACTCTTGAAAAATAACTGCAGTTATTCATGCTTTCTTGATAGATCTCCAGTGAACACTAGTTTTTATAGTAACTAAATAATAGTAAATAAACATTGGTTTCAGTTTCATACTGCCTAAGGTGTTGCTTCCTAATAAAAAGTGTTATTCTGGATTTTGCTGCTTTGTAACCTGGCTTGGACTTTTCTTCTTCAGCTAAAAACAATCTTGCAGACATTTCTTCCATAACAAGTCAGTTTTGGTCAAATGTGTAGCTTGCTTCTCATATAATTTTTTCTAAATCTTCAACAAATTTTGATGTTTGGATAGCTACTTTCCCATACACCTTAATGTTGTGTAATTTGACCCCTCTTGACACTTCATACCATTCATGGCTAGCAATAAAGATCATATCTTCCGCTGATTCCCTCTTCTTGGTTTTTAAATCATTAAATGAAATCAAAACTTTATGGCTCTCTGATTTAGTGGAATATGCCACTCTGTCTTATTTCCTATCCATATTAATAATAATCTTTTCATATCTGAAATAACTTCATATTAAAACTAATTACGATTGTATTAATAGGTGTGCTATTAATTATAGTTTTCGAATAAAACGACCTTCGGGCTTCTTTGACATGAAATACCCCTTCCTTGAAAAACTTAACAATTTTCAACTTCGTACCCAAATGAATTGATTTACAACTTTTGTAAATACTACAATGGTCTCACTTTTAACACCATAACGTTAAGAGGACTTCCCCGAATACGGTGACTGATTTGTACAATTAACTCCGCCTTTAGGTAATCTTTCGTACGAAATTGTATTAGGGAACCTGTATCGTTAATTTAACCTTTTTTTGGTCTCGAAACTTGGACACCTAATTGGGAACACTCCTCCCAAGTTCATCCCATAGGATTCATATCTGTAATGAATTAGAGCCAAATGTTGAAAATGTAATTGCATGTATAGAGACTTTTTTCATACAGTATATGTATTCTAAACATTGTATAATTTGTGTGTAACACTCACAAAACCTTACATACATCCAACTCATTGCTTAATTAACAACTATAGTTAATTTAATATATTTGATCATCTACTTTTAATAACATACACCATCTCGACTATAAAATTAACTTCTCACGTCACAACACTGATTGAATTGACCGTCACGTAATGGTTGCAATTAAGCGACATTAACACGAAGAACTAACAGGCGGCGTCTAGCCGACGTCTTTGTGAAATCTCGCCTCACGAAGCGTTAAGTACATTTTCAAGCTCATTCTTCGGCACGTCATGATTTCGCGTGGTCATCGCTTGATTGACGCAAAATAAAAGAGTCGCGGTCACGGCGATACTACAAAGTCGCCGAATGCAGTACCGGTAATTTAGCTCAGCCAGTATGGAGTGCCAATTTTGATGTAAGGGTCAGATAATAATCTGTTGCCGATGTCTTTGGTAAAAGTCTAAATGTGTCAGCAAAAGTTATAACAAACTTATCGTATTGTTTATTGCATACAATGACTTTTATGTAAATATTATTACACTGATTGCATAATATATGAGAAATGATAATATTACTAGTAAATATTTGGCCGGTAAATTTGTAAACATCAGCTCTCTGGGAAATGCATACTTACATTGATACAAATTGAAAAAAATTTTGAGCGTTAACATGAATGTACATAGACGCTAACGACAAAATGAATGATTCGATTCGGTAAAATTTGCATCTCCAATAAATCGAGGCCGAAGCAATACGCTGTCAAGACGTACCTCTTATTTGTATCGAGACGTCGGTGGACATGTCGAAAGGTTCGTAGCCGCAAAAACCTCTGTAGTCCGTTGTGGGAGAACGGCGGACATAACGCTATTTAGCATTGAATTAATTCTCCATAAGTCAAACCGACGGACGCACACGTCGCCTGCAATCCGTGGCCAAGTTGGGCGACACGCAAAAGTCGCTGTAATAGATTATAAGAGACAGCGCGGACCGAATGTCCGCGTAGAGTACAACGAGAAGATTTACATCTGACGAATTTGGGCATTGAATAGAATTGTTTGCCGTTTCGGTGCACTTCGCGACTGCAGATGTTCCCGGAATTCGTATTTTCGCGACGACTCCAAGTGTTTTTATGGTCGGACAAGACCTTATATGGTATTGTAGCCTTTTTAAGAAAATGGACAATAAGAAATTTTTTTTATTAGTATTCAAGCAAGGTGCACAGTGCAGCTATTACCTATATAGGATGATATTTTTTCTTAATCAACAGGGAGATCATTCATGCGCTCATTAAGATTGCTAAAATCAATTTTTTAGAAATTAGGCTCAATTCACACTATTACAGAAACAATTTTTTTCTCAAAAATAAATTTAGTGGTAAAATTACTTTTGGTAATTTTCAATTAAAAGAGGCTATGAAATTTTATAAACGAGAATTGTTTCGGTAAAGAATTCTCAGTCATTTCGCTAATTATCGTAACACTTTTATTCGCGTAATCGTTGCAACGACTCTCCTTCCGCGCCGTATTGATATTTATTGCGATTAATTACAGCCGAGAACGTTTAATTGCCAGAATTAGCGTACACTCAGCAATCGCGACGGCCTTTTGCACTTCTCTCAGAAGAAATGAGAGAACAAAAAAGACAAATAAAAGTCGATACTTAAAGGAATTCGGTGGAATTGCCGTCGTAAATTGTAGTTATTTGCGGAAGATAAAAAAACTATAAAATTTGCTGCCATGAGAGAGTAATAAGGAAAGAGAACAACTTTTATTTTTAATTAAATCGTGTGAAAATGTACATCAGCCATAAATCTATTAGTTAGCATACCAATATTTAAAATTACCACGGCGATAATTTAATGTTTAACGTTAAGTAAAAGGATGTACAAATGCCGTAAAGGATTTAGTGTCTCATCTCTAATCATCCTACGTTTGTTAGTCGGAAGAATTTCCATTACTAGGAACTAAGCTAATAATTCATATTTTATTGCAGGACGCGCGGAGATTGTTCATAGGCGCCCCGGGCAGTTGGTATTGGCAAGGTCAGTATCGCAGAAAATCCAACACTATGCGAACTCGTACTTCAGCACCGTCGCATTTTGTTCAAGTTTAATACCCAACGATTTCCAGCGGCCCGTTGTTATCTCTTATTGCTCACACTCGTTTCTTTGCGTGCGTGCACCATGGCAGATGTAGAAGCGACTTACCAACTACGATGTTCTCGCTCCTGATTCTCTTGTCTGAATATTCTACTGTTGCAGGGCAAATGTACTCCGTCGACGCGAACGCCGAATTTCTATACTGGCCCGGCTCTTATCTACCTTTCGGTGCAGGTACTGATCATCCAACGAATTATGTAACCCCATATAACCTCACGTTCGAATTTATACCGAACAAGCTAAATCATCACAAATACATCTAAATTATTCAAAATACGGTGATGGATATTCATTATTTCAGAGGCATTGCTAAAATATTACTGATATAATCATATTTTGTTTAGACTCCATAAATATATTACATATAAGCAAGCACTATAAATATAATACTTAATAAGAGATTTTAAGAAATACCTAATACAATCTAACAATCTGGATTGATAAATTACACCAACATATTGAAAATATTAGTATTAAACACTACAAAATTTGTGAAATTTATTAATCCGGTTGTTTCTTTATCTGGATAACATTGTCAAAACAAATGAAGTATAGATTAACACATTATTCATTATTATTAACATTAAGTACAATCATCACAATATACCAAAGCAGGTCCTGATTTTGGAACAAGGAGATGGTAGGAAGAAAATGTGTATAATTGACGCATCACTTCTTTGGAAGGCAACTAACGGAAGTATACCCGGAAGTCCGTGTAGATGTCCGACTCAATCAGTGCTACTGAGAGTAGGTATGTGGTTTCCAGAAGGTTCTCCATATAAATTAAACCAATATTCTTAGAAAGGCAATGAAGAAGATGGGAGTTCAAGATTATAAACTCTATAGTATGATTAAAAAAGTGACTTATTGTGTTGTAACACTATACATGTATTTGTACACATTATATGAAGCGTATAAATATGGTTGCAAGTAATCTGTACACACAAAAATTATTTGCAAAACTGGAACCAATAACCTATGCCAAATGTAGATCATATGATTTGCCTGTTTACGCATATAGTTTAGGTAAACTCAAACTTAATTTCTTCACTATGAGTGAGCTAATATAGTGCTGACAGATTTACTTAAATCAATATAATTTAGCTTAATTAATGTGAAATCAACTAAACAATACCTTGGAAAAAAGGCTACATCAAAGACTATTAACAAAGGAGGAAATAGAGGTTGGAACTTCAACTCAATCTATTTTTTTGAAAAGAATGGGAAATCTGGGAAGAACAAAAGAAAGACATGCAATATGCAGTTCCGATGAAATTACTGTTATAACGTAATCAAAACATATAATCTAGTTAGAGATAAAACAGCACAGTTTTGTTACTTACAACAAACATAACAACCTCAAATATATTCTGTTACATAATAGTTTATGAACCAAGAAAAGTGTGTCAACCCTAAAACACTTGAAAACATCAACCCAGGAAAGATCTTTTTCCTTCACTATATCACAAACTTCACATAATGAAGCAGTTTATGAAGGCACTCAATGCTAAAAATGAATGTTTTATCCGGAATATTAATAACAAAGAAATAGAGCATAGTTATTTTTCATGGCAGTGATACAAAATTTCCTTGGCAACAATGATGCTCCTTATTATGCTGTTCTAGTTACTACAACCCTCAAGGCTTTTCGAAATCTTGCTTAAAGCATATATTTAAGTATGTTTCGTTTCTTTAATTAACCACAGTAACTGGTAACTGTACTAAAAAATTAGCAAGTTTTTTTGTTCAAATATAATTATAAATACTTCTTAAAATCTCTTGACATCACAATTTCAAAAATTTTTTGTTTTTGATATCTTATTTATGTTTCTAACAGTAATAAAAACACTAGATATAAATAGTTATTAAAAATGTTGTAATCTTTAGTTGTTTTAAAAAAAATTATTTTCAATTTCTTTTTTGTGAGTATGAATTTTGAGTAAAAATTAAATTGTTAATGTTATTCATGGTAAACTTTTATCGGTTAATTTTAAGTATGATCAGAAAGTCTTTAGCAACGCCTCTGGTAACATTTATTCCGATGTTATCAATTTCGCTTTAATTGGCTTTTAATACCGAACACAGCAGCGACCACCAATACATCTACACTTCAACGTGCGAATCGAGCAGAGTCGTTCTTATATTATTACTTCAATAGCGAAGCTTTTAAGTGGCGCAATTAATACATGTTCTTTTTATTTTAATGTCATTAATATACGTTGTGGGAAGACCATTAACAGAACCAACTGGGACACTTCTGCAGGGCACTACTATTTTATTTTTATTTTAATTTTGCTACGTCATTTTACTCATTTTTACAGGTTAACCCATTGAAGGCAAAGCTTTCGATATTAACTGTATTTTTTATTTTTGTTCTGTTTGTGCTTGCGGGTTGTTTACTTTTTTTTTGCTTTCATATCGTGAGTGTTCACCGCTAAAAATCACATACGCTTTTTTTATTTACAACACTTCCTTACATTTAAAATTACAAATCATTGAAACCATTAAACAACCTGCAACCAACCATAGTATAGAACATTTTATGGATTTATCGACGATTAAGTCTAATCACACCGTTGATTCTAATTTTATCGATCACAAATTTAGATTTTAATTCGTTCGGCACGTGTTCGTGCAATACACCGAACAGAAATCAATGTTAAATTTAGAATTTACGGTGTAAACTGCGGGCAATTAATTAAATAATTAATTTATGCCTAATTTGGACTTAATCGACTATAAAATCGTTTAACAATTTAAATGTGTTGTCAATGCGCGGTGATGGTAATAATATAGGCCAGGAACATATTTTAGATTGTAAACAATTTAAACGATAAAGTTCAATCTAAAATTGTATCAAACTGTGCTTTAAAATTATTTAAATAAAATGCTATTTATTTAAATTAAACCAAATTAAACTAAAACAAAAAGCAATTTATTTAAATATTTGGTAATTACTGCGCTTCATGTCGTACGTAATCCAATAAAATCATTACAAAAATTGGGCCCTTAAATTAAATACTTTACAGGGCAAGTAATCCAGAAAAATTTGGAAAGTAGACCAGCTGTTGTACAAACTGCAGAAGGTTCTGCAGTCGATGATGACTCATATTTGGGTTACTCAATGGTGGTAGGTGACTTCAACAACGAGGGTTTTCAAGGAATCGCAGCGGGAATGCCTAAAGGAAATGAACTTAGAGGAAAAGTTCTTTTGTATACATGGAACTTGACGAATTTCAAAAATATCACCGGAACCCAACTCGGTTCTTACTTCGGATATTCAATCGCTGCAGGAGATATTGATGGAGATGGTTTGGACGATCTTGTAATAGGAGCTCCTTTATTCACATTACCAAATAATGAAGCAAAGTACGAAGTTGGGAGAGCGTATGTTATTTATCAAAGCAGTTTGGAGGTGAATATATTCATTGGAATAATTCAATTCATTAAGATTTACATATTTATTACAGGGAAGCTTTAGAAAAATCCACGAATTAGATGGATTCAATTCAAAATCTAGATTTGGCCTTTCCGTGGCATCTCTAGGAGACATAAACTTGGATGGATACGGAGATTTTGCAGTTGGAGCCCCATATGATGGCCCTAACGAACGAGGGGCTGTTTATATCTTCCACGGTTCACAAAATGGTGTCAGAAAAAAGTTTACACAAAAAATTACTTCGGAAGAGATGTCCTTACGTTATGGTGGCCCAATAAGCACATTCGGTTTTTCGATTTCTGGTGGTGTTGATTTGGATGGAAACGATTATCCCGATACAGTCATAGGAGCATATTTATCAAACACAGTCTACTTTTTAAGATCACGACCCGTTGCGAAAATCGGTGGAAAAGTTGAGTTTGCAATTCAAAAAATTATATTGGAGCAAAAAAATTGTACTTTACGTCGCGATCCCGTAGCTTGCACAAGTTTTAAAGTTTGTTTCAACTATACTGGAGTAGGTGTCCCACTTGATATAAGTATGTCAGATTTAATTTGATGTACTATCGAATTAATCGATTTTGAATTATTCAAGGATTGAATGTAGAATATAATTTGGATTCAAAGAAACCAACGGATCCCAGAATGTTTTTCCTGGACTACCCCAATGAGCGTGCCATGAACGAATCTTTCGATTTGAGAAAAAACCAAAGGGAAAATTGTAAAATAAAATACGTTTATGTAAAGGTAAATACAAATAAAATTAAGTTAAGTACACCTCAAAATAAATTATTTTAACCAGAATGAAATTCGCGATAAATTAAATCCGTTGGAAGTGGAAGCAAAGTACTCGATGGAACATGGGGAAGCTTACGACAGGGGACAATTAATTCCTATTCTTGATCTCACTGAACCTCCAATAAGAAAAGATTCAATTACGGTTCACAAAAATTGCGGCAGTGATAGTATTTGTATCCCAGATCTAAGTTTGACTGTTAAACCGTAAGTTATGCTTTAAAATGTTGATTAAGTCTTAAATTTCTTTTTGTATTTATAGAAATTTCGAACGATACCTTTTGGGATCAAAAGAAAAATTAGAATTTGATGTAATCGTAGAAAACGCGGGCGAAGACTCATTTGAAACCACCTTCAGTATTCAAATTCCTGAAGGCGTTGATTTTAACAAAGTTGTTGAAGTAGATCGTAATGAAGTGAGGGTCTCTTGCACCGCTGGAGAAAATAACACCATTAATTGTGACGTGGGTAATCCGTTACCAACAAAAACAATCGTAAGCGCATCAAAATTAAAAAGAATTTTTTCATTACACTTCATTATTGTAGGCACATTTTAAATTAGAACTAAAACCATATCATAAAGAAGGAATGAAACCATCCTACGATTTCTTCATGGTAGCTAATAGCACAAATCCAGAAACACCTGACACTCTTTTCAATAATAAACTCGCCTTATCAATTCCAATATACGTAAATTCAACATTATTTATTCATGGGTAAGTTAATTTTAATACGCGAAATCATTAATCAATAAAATTAATTTCCAGAAAAACCAAACGTACAGAAATCCGCTATAACGTAACTAGTTTTGAATCAAAAACAATTAAACACGAAACTGATATCGGTCCTCAAATCCTCCAAAAATACATCATCAAAAACGAGGGTCCTTCCACAATAAATGAAACAGAAATGGTTTTCATATGGCCAGCAGCTACAAAAGCCGGGGACGATTTAATGTATCTCGTTGAAGGGCCAGAAATTGAAGGAGACGTTGTTTGTGAAGAATCATACCCTAATCACAAAAATTATTTAAGAGCTCATTACAAAAAAAGCATCTTAGCATCACTAGAAGACGAAATAACTCAAACAGAAACTTCTTCTTCAACATCATCCAGCAGTTTTAGTAGCAGCGGAGTAAGATTAGAAGAAGGTCCCGTACGATTTGGAAAATTACCAGAAGAAACCAAAATTGACACAAACAGAACTGAAATAAATGTGGAAAAATCTGGAGATGCTTCTTTTGTTCACCAACAAAGACAGCAAGAAGTGTTTGAGGAAAGTCAAAAAGGACACGGTTCTGGCACCAAAACGGTTCACGTTACAGAAGATAAAGGTCAAGGTCAAACAGTTACGACCATTACAACTACTCAAAATAGAACTACACCGGTTGTGACAACTAATACATTTTGGAAAAACACCACTACATTTTATGGCCCTGATGGAAATGTTGTAAAACAAGAAACTACTTCTGGAGGATCACCAAGTGGAACATTCGTTCATCAACAAAGTGGTACTCAACATTCTAGGGGTCAATACGGATCTACGGATGAATATGGAAATACTAGACAATATGGCGGCTCATCTGGATGGACTCAACACACATCTAGTCAAGGTTCTTCAAGGGATAAACAATTCAAAACATCAGGAGATGCAAGGTATGAAGGTGGTAGAACAGATGAACAATCTAGAAGACAATACGGTAGTAATGAAGAAAGAAGATATCAAGGATCTAGTTCTTCAGGATCTCATGCAACATTCAACGTCCAAAATAAATCCTCACATCAGCAATCATCAAATCGAAACAATGACAACTATCAACCCGTCATTTACAACGGTGCTTATGCCTCAGAAGAATATTATGGCGAAACTAATAATTACGATGTTGATAAAAATCGTCTTCGCCCCGATGATGAAAACCAACGAAACGATGGTTATTCAAGAGGTCATTCAACATCTGGTCGAACTCATGATTATTCGGGTAGTCATTCAGCTCAAGGTCATGGTTATACAGGATCTCAATCCTCTTCTGGTCAAACTCACGGTTATTCAGGAACGCATTCCTCATCATATGGAAATCAAAATAAAAATTGGGACGAAGATTATGCGAATCACGGTTTAGGTGCTGCCGCTCTTGATCATGGCTTCAAAACGGGGGGATTAGATCTCGGCATATTAGGATCTGGAAAAAATGTTGATGAGACCATTTCCAGGCCAGCCGGAGAACATTACGATCCCGATTTGGGTTTAATATCAACTGCTCAAAGCGGTGCAAATCGTCAATCTGGACATGGATACCAACAATCGAGTGGTAATCAATGGTCGCAAGAATCACGTTGGTCCTCAGGAGGGGGCAGTCACACCTCTCTAGAAAGAGATAACGTCGAAACTGAAAGACCGAATTATAGAGCACGTCATTTGGGGAGAAAGAAAAGGCAGACAATCGATTTGAACGCTGCTGATATCAAAGATGTGGTTAAATGCGAAGCGACCGAATGCAGGTTTGTAAAGTGCGTTGCTGGACCTTTGAAGAAAAACGAAGATATAACGGTTGGATTTAGGTGGAGAGTTAATGTACATACTATAAGAAACGTAAGTATTTGCCTTAATTTTGTGAATTTCCATCTCAACATTTCATTTTTTATGTAGGTCTCATCATCACAACCAATTAAATTTGCAACGATGGCATTAGCAAGAATTAGTAAAGTTCCATACATCGGAAGCCCAATTAATAAAACTCTTTTCAAACATGAAATAGTAACAACTGTTCTTCCACCTGAAACGGATGGAGCACCCAGCGTGGTTCCATTATGGGTGGTTGTATTATCAGCAATTGCTGGTGTTGTTATTTTGTTGTTATTAGCATTTTTGTTGTACAAGGTGAGTTAATTATTTAAATTATATACGCATATAATGTAAGACGAATTTTTTAGTGCGGTTTCTTCAAGAGAAATAGAGTATCGGATGCCCCAGAAAGACAGCCTTTAAACAAAAACGGACACTACTACAATGGAGATGAAGCATTATAGACGGCTTTAATAGATTTTTTTTTAATATTTATATCAAAAAAAGCTCGTGAAGTCTTAAACTGCCATATAGATCGAATTATTTTTTTATAGCAAGCCAATTTATGAGCGTTATAAACGTGTCCAGTGATATTATTAGTTGCTGTTAGTACGCTAATAACCAACCGATCTATTGTTAACAGCTTTAACACCAAAAATACGAAAAGTTAACGCAAAAAACAGATTTGTGAAAACGACAAACGAAGACTTGCTACCATGGAAAAAAGTGACCTAACAGACTAATTATTTAATTTATGCTAATTAATAAATTAATTGTTCGTGCCTTAGAAGTGCCACTTGTTGTAACTATAATTTATAATTTAATTCTATGTATGTATATGTACTTATTCTTGTTAAAACGTCCTTGTAGTCATATCTGTATAAATTATTTAGAATCTCGTGCAATCCTCGTTAGTTCTCTCCATTTTCCTACTTATTCTTTTTTGTTATTATTTAGTAGATCGTATTGTAATAATTTATCTCCGATTCAATTCCTGAATATGATCTATCGTGGATTTGTAAAAAATGCATATCTGAAAATACACAAATTGTAAATAAATAATAAATTTGGTAATGTTTTCATATGGCTTTTTATCTCATCAAAACAATCATAAAAAACAAAAAGGATTCCATTTTACATAAATAAAAATATTTAATTATGCCCTTTATTCCATAAATCAAGTTTTGCTATATATAAATAATTGTCATAATATGAGTTAAGACATTTCATTTTTTAATATAAAAAAAATAAAACATTTAATTTTGAAATATGAACATAAGAAATCGTTTTAGGCCCAAAGATTTGAAATAATCTTATAAATCTAATGTAATACACAAAACAAAAACTTATTTTAAAATTACTTTGTACACTGATTTTTAAAGCTTAATAGAATTTAAAAGAAGCTCAAACAATACTTAGACCACATATTATAATTGTATAAATAAAATATAACTTTTGTAGCTGGTTTGGTAAATATACAAAGTGAGAGATTCGCTAAACTGAACAACATAAAAATATTTTAAATATGAAGTGAACATAAATCAGTACATTAATTAACACCCAAGGGCAAGACAATTTACTAAATTAAAATAATACTTTTCTTCTATTTGTTGTTTAGTTTCTCGTATTTTCTCAATGGTTCTGTTATTGGTTGAGCCGGCCAATGATTATTTAACTCCGTTTTATAAGCGTTTAAATTCTGTGCACATTCCTTCATCAGCATCATATGATCTAATTTCTCTACAGTAGTTTTCAGTTCACTTTCCCAAACGTCATCAGTACTTTTACCTTCACCTCCATCCACGGGTCTAACAGCCAATTCTTTAACTTTCAATTTTAATTCATCTAAATTTTCGTCAAACGTTTCCATTTCATCCCGTTCGCTTACAGCCGAACTTGTCGGTCCACTATTTATCTCGCATTTTTCCAATTCCACTTGAAAATCCGGTATAGATCGAGACTTTTTTAAAGATTCAGTTACGTTCGTTAATTCAGCGCCAACTCCCGGTTCTCGTGGACTATTTAACAAATCTAAATTCAACGTACTTCGTCTTAAATGGATATCATTGGAGATTTGCTCTAGGTTTTTCATCGATTGGGTATAAGAAAATTTTACTTTCGATATGGATTGTTTTAAGGATTCTACTCGATCTTTTTGAGTGTTTAATTGTTCCTGGCACAGAACTTTTTCTTCAAAATACGGACGGGATTTGATTATGTGTCTTCGTAAACGATCCTCTAAATGTTGGACCTAATTTAAATAATTTTATTATGATACGAGTTAAAGTAATAAAAAAACATACCTTCTGTTCTGCAGATTGAAATAATGCAGCTCGTTTTTGGTGCTCTCTACCACTTTCGGCTTTATCAGTTTCTGCTGTCATTACCTAAAACAATATCTATCCTAATTTCGGTTTTGAATAATCATCATCAGGCAAAAATTCAAAACTTAATTAGAAAAAATATTGGATTTTTAGTATTGTTGGGAAAGATGAAGGGACCGAGAAGGATGTGAAGAAACGAATACAGAGAGCAAATGGGATCATTGTGCAATTGTACCCTATCTGGCGAAACAAGAAGATTTCAGTTCAGAAATCAGTTCTTCTGTATACCCAAGGGGATGTCGAAGAAATTACAAGTGTTTATTAATCAATGCCTGCGACACACAATGAAGAATTCTGGGTAAAACAAACCAACAACCCATTAGTGACCAAATCAAAGAGAGGAAATGCCAGTGGATTGGACACACGGTAAGAAAGCCTTATGGAGCAGTTAAGATGTCAGTGCTTGAATACGGAGACGAGGGCGCCAAGAAGGGCGTGGAGGAGAGCTGTTGAAAAAGAAGCAATGGAAACTGGGAAAACGCGGAGAGAAGTACAAGGCCTTGCTGTCTATCGGACCAGATAAAGAGCCTTTAATGATGCCCTATGCTCGACCAGGAGCGACGGGAAATAAGTCAAGTAAGTCAGGTAAGTTATCAGAGATTTTTTTAATGATAAATAAAGCATGACAAAAGTTTCTATAGAGTTAACATTGCTGAAGAACCACTCTCTAACAATTTCTTGTGCAAACGTTATCAAAAACATTGGGTATTTCAACAGCACTCAAGTGGATAAAAAAACGTTCAAATGTGTACAAAATCTAAAGGTCCTCCATACTAGAAAAAAACTCGGTAAAGCACATGTGTTTTACGTTATGCAGTAAAATACCTGTTTTCATAAAAATCTATTTAAATATTATCGAATATTACTTCTTCTTCCCTTTTTTATCACCTTAAAGGAGTGCATTTATTTCTGTTAAACTATTTAGAGTAATAAAGATATACATAGAAGTATGTCAAGTTTTTACTTAGAATGCTTATCCTTTATCAGCGTTATTTAAAATTAAATTATACGTAATTATATAAACATTGAAATGTTTTGCAATAGTTTAGCAAATTTATATTCATCATAAGTCACGTTCAACAAGTTCTACAAAAATTTGCAAAACTAACACATAAATCACATAACACACTCCTATTAACACATAAATTAATGTTTCAATCTCAATGACGAAATCTGTATTAAATATTTGTAAGTTGAACAATAAATTTGGACAAAAAGTTGGGTTAGGGAACATAAATTTCTGTTATTACTTTGTTTCATAATAAGTAAATGTTCTAACTTTATCCTTACCATAAATAATAATAATATAAATAAAACAAATTGAATAGAAATTATAGAAATAATTTTTGTTGTATATTATTGTGCTCTAATAATAATAGCTTTCTTTTGGCTTATATTGTTCAAAAATGTTCATTAAATTACACCACAATTTTTGAAACTATTAAGTAAACTTTATTCTTTCGAGTATTAGTTAATAGATACAAACAGTTGTCCATTGCTGCAATCTTATTATGTATACTATGTATACAGTCACTTTCCATGAATCGGCTGAATCTCATGGATACAGTGTTACCTTGTCTATAAGCATTGCACATTGCAGAGTACCTTAATACCAATACTTGGTTTGTATGCCCTTCACCATTTCATTATACTCTGAGTTCTCTCTACTTTAATAAGACAAAGTATGCATGGTTTACAACCAACCAGCTTTTTAAGCACAATTTGACCTGTTGGTCCCTTCGTTGCACACTAGGCAATGTCTATTCCTAAACGAGGTTCTCGCGAAATTAACATTGGTTGACAGAGAGAAATTTTTGTTGTTCTGCTCTGCCTTTTATATCATAATCAATGTGATAAGAAATCTTAACAAAAACATCATTAAATTTGTTTAATGGCCGCAAATTACAAAATAATATCGACGCTGCCAAGGTATAGAAAAGTTCGTTATCTATACACAGTCATTCAGGAAGCAATTCTGTTAATGCAAATTGTTTATTGCATTAATTAGTTGAAATTACTGCAGGGAGTTTAACAAATTAAATGGTATTTTAATCTATTTCTTCATTCTTCCTTATTTACAAATATAAATTGAGGCTCTTCAAGGCTACTTTACGCTATTAGTCGCAGCTCATGATTTTTATAACAATCTACTCTTCGACAAACAACCAAATAGTATCAGCATTCTCCCAAGATTAAGGAAAATTTTATGGTACTCATACAAGATGAGTAATTGGTTGCTTAGAATTCGGGCATTGAAATATCAGTGTCCCTAGAGTACTATTTTGTTGTAAGCCCTCTCTAAGCCAATGAGCATGCTGTATAGCTTTGACACAATTATGACTCAGACATAATGCTAAAATCACTTTCAATATGCATAAAATACGTCAAAACCAACAGAATATTTTCTCTTTATATATTACCTATATATGAGAAAGTAAAAACTTTTGAAGGGATTTTTGGATTAATTTTTTGGATATTAATGGGGATTCAAACCCTCACTCAAAACTCAATTATTCATTATATTTGTAAAAAAATGTTATTTTAAATATCATTTATCTATAAAAAAAACACAATAAATCCCACAGTCTTATCAAGAACTCCAAATTCCTTACATTTTCAATTTTTTAAAAGGATAAGATATTCTATTTAGGAAATATCAGAATTAATCTTTTTGATAAGAAAACTTTGGGTTGATAGCGAAATATAAGTATACAAAACCAGGCTAAACATAGATTTTGCATATCTTTGAGTTTAAAATATTTATTTTAATTCTATTCTTTAAAGAATAATAATTTTTCAATCAATCCCAATTTTTTAACACAACCATATTATTATCAGGGCATCAAAGCACAACTGGAACTGGAAATTTAATAAAATATTCATTGATTTATTTGGATAAAACTTGTTGCAACAATTTAATTATAGCCTAAATTAAATATTCCAAAGAAACCTTACCTTCATTGTTGCATGATTGAGCATTTCCTGCCACGCGTTATCAAATTGTAACTCGTCCTCGGTACTTAAGAATCGTTGCTCAGCTAAGGCAACAGTTTCCTTTGCAGCTGCATGTATCTCTGTGAAATTAACGAAATTACAGATGAACCCACATAGAAATGAAACAAAAAAGAGTTGTTTATCATACCATTTGCCCTGCGAAAAACAACTGCTGCTTTTTGGCATTCAAGTTGAGCATTTTTGGCGATTTCCAATGCATCATAATATGGGCGCGCTTTCTCAATACAACTTCCCAATTTTTTTGACAACAACTTTAATCTTCTTGTGGACTCGTTAAGTAACATGCGAAATGTTGTATTTGCTTCCTTATATTATAAAAAAGAAAAATCAATTTAATGGAAAAGATTTCTAAAAAATTTACTTACATCTAGCTCAATTTCCAATTTATTAATTTCATCTGTAGCCTGATTCAAATTTTCCAATTCAATTTGTATACGAGGATCCAACACAGCATCAACACAATCTTGTTCTTCCATAGCTTACCCAACAATAAGAAGTAAGATTTTCCTGTCTACATTTTCGCACAACAAGGCATTGTTCTAAGATTTAGCGGAGAAGTACTAGTCGATTACACCAAGAGGTCACGAACATTACACCAGCTCTTCTTATTAAATAATAATGATACCACGTTCTATTTTTATACTAAACGCTAATTTACATCGACGTAGACGATCTTATATTCAACATTTAATCGGCAATCACTCACTGTATTTTCATCTGATTGGTTGATTCACTAACTGTACGAATTTCGACTCGTTACATTTGATTTACTTATCGGCGTTAACAAGCTATTGTTGTGGTCTGACTATCACCGTAGAAAGTTACTGTCATATTAAGTATGTCATTGAAAAATGTCAAATTAACAAATAAACGTGAAGTTTGCGATTTACTACAAAAAAATTAACTTTAATAATTTATTATCTTATATATATTTGATAAGATATGTTTCATTTAATGTTAATATCAAATATAGTTAATAAATTAATTTAATTTTTTTTATATTAATTATGTTCACTTCCTGAATGTATTAGTTATGCTTTTTGATATTAGATGGCGCCATGTTTATACTTAAAAATATGTACTAAATAACTCAAAAATTATTTTTTGTTTTTTTGATTGTTAATAATGTTGTTATAATAGTTTAATAAAACCAATATAATTAAAGTTTAAAAAGAAATAATTAAAAAAAATGTAATGTTAGTTATTATTTTTAACGCATGTGGCGCTAAATAAATAAACAATCATATCTGTCACCTGTCAGTTGAGTAGATGGTTAAAAGTTTTCATTCATTATTATTTCGTAATGAACTAATTTATACGTAGGGTAAGTCTTTATAACATATAAAAGCAAATGAAATGATCGTGATATGTTTGTAGAACAATGTCTCTTTTGGGTTCACCTTATTTGAACTCTTATATGCAAGATGATTACGACGAAGAAGACCAAGGTTATGAAGAAGAAGATGATCGTGAAAATGATGAGCCCCATGATGATAGCGATGAAGGTAAAAATTAAAATATATTTAAATTAAACTCATTTTTTATTGAAACGATAAATTAGATACTGAAGATGCGAGCGAAACCGATACAGGAAGGCATGAAGAGCCATTAGAAATCAAAGAGCAGATGTACCAAGATAAATTGGCGAGTCTTAAAAAGAAACTTCAACAACTTCAAGATGGAAGTCATCACGAATATAACAAAAAATTTCGTAAATTAGAACTTATTTATAAAGAAAGACTCAGATTAAACACAATTTATAGGGATTATATGATTGAATGTGTCGAACGCGATTATATTTTGGAGAAAAAAGCGGCTGCTAAAGAATTTGAAGATAAAAAAGTTGATCTGAAAGAAAATCTTATTTCCGATTTTGAAGATAAACGTAAAGCGATTGAATCGGAACGTTATTCAATGGAATTAACTGGTGATTCAATGGAAGTTAAACCAGTAATGACTAGAAAATTAAGAAGAAGACCAAACGATCCGGTTCCTGTACCGGAAAAACGACGTAAACCTGTTGCATGTCAACCCGTGTTTCAATTAGATGAAAAAGAGATTGAAAATGATTTGAAGTTAATCAACCGTGGAAAGATTATGACGCCTATTAGAAAACCAGGGGAAACATCTCACAGTACTTCTAATAACACTCAAAATCAAACTGCGCAAGTGACATCATCTGGAAATGACGTTCCTCTAGTTGAAACACGAGTCGAAGATGGTAAACTATGGTATGAAAGGAAGTGGTTTCATCGTGGACAATCGGTTTATGTTGAGGGAAAAGATATTCCCAAATTTCCAGCTAGTATTTCATCAATTTCTGTGGAAGCTATTAGTGTTAAGAAATCAGATTCAACAAAAGTCAAGATAATCAGTATCAGCAATTTAGCTAGAGGAAAAGTATCTATAAAACGAAGAGCTTCATAAAATGAAATTAAAGAAATTAAAACAAAAACATTTACAATGTTATGATTTTATTGATTACACATAACATGATTGCACAATACAAAAATAAATATAACTTTCTTTTGTAAATATAGTATGTTTCTGTAGTAAATAAAAAAGGCGTTGATGTTTTTAAGGAGGGACATTATTTGGACGAGAAAAGTTATCTGCATCTGAAAATGATTAGAAAACAAATCAAATTTTTTTCTAATAAGCAAACATTTGTCAACATTTCTTAATATAAAATATACATGTATGTCATTAACTTGTGAAGTATGTGAAATATAAATAGTGCTTTGTAATGAAATGAGTTATTTTTTTAACATTACTGATTATATTTGCAGTACTCACATTAATGGGAACCTGATAAAGACATGTCTAATCTTATTTTAAGAAAGTGCTAATAGGTATTAGTGATTTTCTTTTATATAATATCAAGAGAATCTAAATTCTAGTTCAAATTAAATTAAATAAAATACATTTTACTCTAAAAGGGAAAAATGCAAATTAATTAGATAAATTAATGCAAGTATTGTCATTATCATAAAAATCACATTAACCAGACCTCATTAAATAAATACTAATATCAACAAACTCTACTGTTTATTCATCAGAATTAATAAAAATCTTTTAAATCTAATTCAATATTAACTGGTTGCCATACTATTTGTACTCTTTCAATTAGGTCTTGTTAATTGTAATATTACAATTATGTCACATGAATTAAAAAGCATTATTTTTTTTTGAACATCAAGATTGCTGTTAAAAGATCGTTGGACGTATATGAATTAAAATATATGGATGTATATGAATCATAAGGCCATTCGCAAAGTTTTAGTGCTTACAATATGTATAGCGTAAGTCGATAAATAAAAATTAAATTTAAAAACTGATAAAACAAAAATTCCGAAGAGTACAATGATAAATAATGTTCGAATGAACGTATAGTCGTTTTTATCAGTTACTATGAAAAAGCAAACCAGATAAAATAAAGGAACATATTTATATATTCAAAAATTAATGTATCACTAAAACTGGCGGTTCTTGTCAATACAAATAAAGAAAGCTACTTTTATATTGAATGTTTCTCTTACTGGGATACACTACCAGGAGACTCTTGACGTGCTAGGGAGTAAATTTGTCTGATAATAAAAACAATTTATACATAATTACTAATTGCCCAAATGAATTAGTTGGTGAATGCTGATCTAGAGCTAAAATCTTTTTATTCTGTATATTTATATTAATATCTCCAGTATAAACACGTAATTAGACCTCAAAAGTGTTGTCAAACAAAAATGTATAATGATTCAAAATCAGAACTGTACTATACTTTTGACGACACCAGAGAAAGCTTGGCAAGTTGCACAATTCTTGAAGAAGTATTTCTTGAGATAATGCTAAGCTTCGCAATGTTACTACCCATAAAGTTTAAATTGGAAACAAATACACAACAACAACAGCCAGCATTAAAGTGTAGTAATTTTTCCGTTACGTTGCTTGGTTTGGTCGGGTAATTGGGGCTACCAAAGAAATTGTGTACATAGAATTAGTTGTTTAAAATTGAATTCTGGTTTAAGTAAGTTTGGGAATGAAACATTCCCTTCACAATCGAATATATAAGTGGCTTTAATCTGGTCTGCGATTAGAAGTGAGCTTCTAGTATGTACAATTTCTCTGAATACGAGTTTTGTGACAACGTGTACACTCCGAAAAACGTATATAACGTAATCTAATTTAGTAATAATCATTCTTAAGGGCATTTTTTTGTATAATTCCGCTAATTCATAGTTATCTTAAAAATTGTTTCAAAAATCTGGTATAGGTGTTCAATTCCGAGCAGAGCTATCTTCACTTGTTATATGCAAGTTAATCTTATTCTCAATAAATTTGCAACTTTCAATTTACATATGTGTTTTTATGTGTAAAAAGTATACTGGTGAATAAATATTTCGTTCCAATTAGAATTAAATACCTCATATAAGATTTTTGACAAACAGATGTATACAGTATTGGCTCTAGCAACTCTTATTATAAGAGGTGAAGAAATCAGATCGAATGATTTTAAAATTTGTTCGGCGTTGGAGAATGGTGCGACATAACTAAGTAGCGAAATAAATACATTACTGGTGAACAACGAAAGTGCAATGAGAATTCCGCCTATATTTGCATTCGTAATAACATGCTCCCTACCGTTTAAGTACTTTTTCACCCAGCCTTGCTTCTTTGCCGCCTTAAAAAAAATGTTCTCTTGGTGTTTTCATTATGTACTGAGGTGTAATATGACTATAGTAACAGCTTATTTCTTTACTCTTTCATAATTAACTGCTGATAACTTTGTAACAAGCTGTTTCTTACCGTGTATATTTCTCGTTTAAATAATATTCAATATCAGTTTTCTCGTTTTTCAGCTTTGATATTAAGGTTACAAGGTGGGTACAAGTCCGAGATGGGCGGTAGACTGCAAACCACATGCGACGCTACTGATTTACTTGAATCACTATGAAAATAGTGTCACCTCACTTGATACTGGTTTATAAAAATCTCTATGAGGTTGTTTCCCAGAAGTGTCGCTTGTGGTTGAGTATTCTTACATTCTGAATATTTTAGTGGAAGCCGAATGAAGCTAAGAGACATTACAAGAACTAGGAGTTGCGACATGTTCCTAAATGCAACTCGTTTGTAGTGGATTTAGTTCTATTTATAACGTTTGCGCTATTTATTCCGATTCAATGACCGAGATTGAGAAGTTTATTATTAAAAATAGTGAAATTTTATTTGTACATGTCGTGTATGTTTTTATGCTTTGGCTATTTTTATCTATAACTGCAGCTTATTTAAGATATATTAAATGTTGGCCGAAGATGATGAATATATTAAGCTTTGATTTTTTGGAGAACGTATCTGTGATTAAAAAGCTATTCAAGCTGCTTGGGATTGTTGCTCTTTATGTAGTTATTTTTTTGACTCGTCTGTAATTTCTAATTCTTGTTTAGAGGCCATTTTGATCCAGACCATTACTGCAACTAATGTAAACTTCCCTCACTTTTCATTTGATCATATATTTGGGCGGATGAAGCCTGTGGTCCCGTTATTTACTCTTGTTCTAACAATATTGGAACTAATTGGTTCCAATGTTTATTGATTTGAAGCCGATTTTGGCAATCCTTAATACCGTTACGACTCTTTTAACATACGTCTCAAGTGTTCCTTGAAAATATATTTATTTTCGTCTATATGGATGCTGTTACATATTGAGTGTAATTTCATTTATAGCTTCTTAATACAAAATAAAATAATGTTTAATTTCAAAATTGTGTTTTGATGAGATTTTAGAGTTGGTATTATCCAAATAGATATTAGTTATCTACATGAAGCAGTGTTAGTATAAAAAAATGACAAGGAAAAGAACTTTGAGCATTTCTAAAAGCGTAGTAATAAGCAATCCTCATTGTCCATAATTCTGCATATTCACTAAATAAATTGTGTTAAACTTTACATTTTTTATATATTCTTTGTTAATAATTAAGATTAAGTAAAATGTAATGGTACACATATTTTGTGTTCAAAATTTTACCGCTAACATAAGACATTCAAATGTCTTTAGTTAATATTAAGAATATGATTTTTAATAAGAAAGATTAAGTATCAATTACAATTTATCATCACAAGAGACATTTGTAACTTTTTTTCTTAATTTTTGCCTCTAATGTCAATATTACAACAGTTAATGACCATAAAACTACTCATAAGAGCCTGAAAATCTATAATTACTTTCATCATGGTATTATCTCAATATATTCATAGAATAAACAGATTCTTACCACATTTTTTACCTTATTTTCAGACTCTCACATTTTTATAGGTAATTATTGAATAAGTACATTGAAATATAAGTTACATTTAGGAAGTATAAACAACACAACTATTTATGTATAGTTTACAATGTTATAAATGTGCGAAATATTTTAAGTGCTTTAAAATTAATATTGAAAATTTTATATTAAATACTATATCTGATGGATTAAGGTTTCTGGCCAATTTAGATTTTTTTTAAATCCATATTTAAATATCAACAAAATTAATAATTAATTATCATAAATGAATTATGATAATAACAGTAAATAACAAATTTAACACAAATGACATCACAGTTACATTACTTAATATTATTACCAGGTTGCTCAATTTCTACAGCCAAACTGCTAACACTAGCTGCAGAACCCTCCTCTTCAACGACTAACGCAACATCCTCTTTTGTATCTGTAAATGTTTCCTCACCAATTGTAGCATTGCTATCTCCCATACTTAACTCCAAAACGCGTTCCATTGAAGGTGTGGTCTCAATAGGACCAATATCAAAAGTTGTTTCAACATGGATGCTTCTTCTTCTAGGTGGAATATACCTTACAACACACTCTCTTTGCCACCAATAATACCACATTCTTCCATGGTACCCAACAACAATGTAAACCCAAATGTAATATCCAAAAAGCATTATTGCTATCATTATTAATAATGAAATTGAGGTCCATCGTGCTGTGGGGATGTTTGAGTATTTCTGTTGATTATAATAATCGGCTGAGAAAAGGCAAATGTAAGTGATAATTATCGCTAAAGGTGTTAAAACAGCACAAGCGATTAAATCACATCTTATTCTTCGTACACGAAATCCTAAGTTTTGTGGTTGATGTCTTATCCATTGCCAAACAGATTCTTTAGCGGTATATTTTGGCACACGTTCTGTTTCATATATGTGATGACATAACTCGCATGATGTGGTGTTAGATTCTGCAAGCCATTTTTCTAAACAACTACGATGGACAAATGCAACAGTTCCCTGTTGAAATTTTCGTTTATTAATAGTTATTGTATATTATAATAAAAGCAAAAAATTTTAGTATTTACCTTACAATGGCACGGAGTTATAATAGTTTCATCCTTGGAATCGTCAAAACAGATTCGACACACAATCGAAAGGACAGAGGTCTTATCATCTATGTTGTCCAAATTGATGTCTTTCGATTTCTTCTTGGATTTTGTTTTGGAGTGGGTTTGCCGATCATTTTCCATTCGGAATTCTATTTTGAAACGTTTAAAAACCCCTTGAACACGAGCAACTCATACGGCACGCTTGTATTTTGAATGTTTCAGGTTCAATGAAAAATTTACGAAATGAACACAAATTATTAGTTCAGTTGAAATTTTAGAAGGTTTTGGGTGGGGGTTGAGATAATAAAATAGAGATAAAAAAATTATCTGTTATTAAATGATCAAAATTGTATTGTATTTGATATCAAACGATAAGTTTTTAAGTTATTACATAAAAGGTTATAATATCTAAACAGTAATTAATAAAAGTGCGGCAACATTTTGCTCTGTATCTACTCTATTCTATGTACATGTCAAAATTTTGTGGTTATGTTTGTATAAATTTCAAGGTTATGTTCGTTTAAACCTCCGTCTCAAATTCAAGGTTATGAGAATTAGTAGAATTATGATGATATAATCAGTGCTGCAAATCAATTTACAAATAAACAAGTATAAAAAGGATGGCAAAAGCTTCACAGGTTAAGTCTAGACGTAAACTTCTAAATCCGGTATTTCATTTACAAACGAAAATGGAAGATGATACTCAACTTACAAAGGGAATGATAAAAGTTGTTAGACGAACGGGCCAATTAAATTTATCTGGACGTGGAATGGGCACAGGTAATAATTAATTATATCTAAAAATTAAACCTTTAAATTGTTCTAAATTTGTTTTAGTGCCTTCAACAATGTTTACAATGTACAATGACGATGAAAATATTGTTAGTTATGATTTGGGAAAATCCCCTGACGATGCCTGGTGGAGTTTTAAACCACTTAATTATCTAGATTTAAGTTCAAATACATTACAAGAGATTCCAATTGATATTAAAATGTTTGAAGATTTAACCGTTCTTAATGTAGGAACATAATCAAAACAAAATCAAATTAACTCTAAATTATTGTTTTTAGTTACAAGATAATTGCCTTATAACATTGCCTAAAGAAGTAGGAATGTTGAAAAAACTTACAAAAATTAATTTAAGCCATAATAAAATTACTAATTTACCTGACGAATGCTTTAACTTTCCTGATTTAGTACAATTCAATGTGTCTTATAACAATTTGGAGGAGGTTTCTGCTGAAATTGGAAATTTAGTGATGCTTCAACAGTTGGTAAGAGACTAAAATTGATTATTTTTAAATCTTAAATGTATTTTGATTACTGTAAATTGGTAATTATGTTTTAATATTGCATCATTTTATGAAATAAAAATATATATCAGTAAAAAAGTTTCCACTAAACATATTTTATGGATTTGTTGTAGATTTTCTTTTTATCACTGATAGGGTTTGGGAATTGTTGAATTTGACATCAACCTCAGCACCACTTTCCTTCCTATAAAGATGAAGAAAAGAAAGACTCTTCTTTCTAGCCTTGATTTCTTTTTTGTATATCTAGGTGATGCACTTATAGTCACAAAGAAGAAGAATATTATCTTCATTTGTAAATGTTTTTTGAGAGATTAAGCTCTTATAACATAAACATTCAACCTACAAAATTTGTTTTTGGTTTTGCTGCTTTAGATATTTTAAGTCTCCATATTTCTGCTGAAGGCATTCAGCTTTTGCTACCTAGGGTTAATGCCATAGTAATATTCTTAGGGATGATAAATTTTCATCACAGATTACCAAATATCGCAATCAATTTAACTCCTTTATATCTTCTCTCAAAAACATTTTATTTGCAAAAATTAAGTCAGTCACTTCCTGGAATTTTTATGAAAATCCGTCATTCTTGCACACCCATCTCCACAATCTGCTCTTTCACTGATGATAGTCGCCTCAAGTAAAATGGCTCAATAAAATATGCGATCAGTTTTATCAGAATCTATAAACAATAAAACTGAACCTTAACATTTTTCTCTCAAACATTTAGTTCAAGCCAAATCAATTATTCAACTTTTGGTAGTTAGTTAACTGTTGATAGTTGGATATTTATATTAGTATTAAATTCTTAAGACATTTTTTGCATGGAAGGCAATTTCTGGTTTAGACTGTCCACAAATATTTTTTTTGTTGCTGCAAGTTTGATCTTCAGCTTGTTTAATCTTGAATAGATGGAAGTTTAGAGACGAGTGGCCGGCCAGAAAATCTGAGAGCAAGCTTAAGTGTGCTTTACTGAAGCATAAGACCTAAGAAATATTTTCGATTTGACTATATTAACATTGATTTTGGTCGGTCCTCTCAATCCGGCCCTTGGCTGCTCATAAGAACTCACCGTAATTGAACGTATCACGCGTTGGCCTTTGCTCTCAGCGCTCAAATTGCTCTCAAATTTCAATCGATTTGGCGTTCTAAGCACTATCACCCATTATCAGGGACGACAATTCGAATCAAAACTTCTCTTCTATTTCACATCTCCAAAGCAACAGAATTTTAGAGATCTCACAGTTCCTTGAAAATAGCCATAACTGCCAGACACCAACATTACTAAGTGTAATAACGATCTTCCTTAGGTTCTTTTAGGCCTGAGATTATCTTTTAAGGAAGACCTAGGTTGTATAGCAGGAAAATTGTTCATTAATTAACATGCTCTGGAGTCTGATCTATTGCTTTGAAACCAGTCAATACAGCTTTTCATTTAAAGCAAAAACCATTTGTTCATAACGATTTATTGCGTTCAAATTTTGTTATTCTCAATATTACCGGATTTCAACCCTTTTTAACCCTAAGATATGAAGGCCCACGCAAAAATAATCTGTAATTAACGGTTAACATCGACCTGCATTAAATCTGCATTCCTTTACAGGAAAACGTAGCTTGTCACCCCAGTGTGGTAAAAAGTTCATTTCAATTTTTAAATATGAATTTTTTGACTTTCATGTTCCTCTTTTTATTCATTTTTATAGGAAGGCAAGTGGCTATAGACATATAAAAACAAGAGTGTACTGCTATATACATTATTTATTATTTGCTCCTTCATTGATTAAAATAAAAAGCTTGTTAATAAAAATGCTAATGTGAATTTACAGGATTTATCCCATAATAATTTAACAACATTACCACTGGGATTGGGATATTTGGTTCGCTTAAACGATATAAATTTATCTCATAACAAATTAACAGAATTACCACCAGATATTGTAAGCTTAAGGGGTAAAGTAACAACATTAAAAATTAATCGCCTTGAATAATAATTTTTGGGCTATGCATTATTTTAGCTTTAATAAAATTGGACGTAACACATAACAATTTAAAAAAATTACCGAACGCGATGGGAGAGTTGAGAAAAATGCAAATGTTGCATGCTCAGCATAACGATATTGATGATTTGCCTAACTTCGAAGGTTGTGAACATATCCAAGAAATCCATATGGGAAATAACTTTATCGATTGCGTTCGGAAAGAATTTTGTGAGGATGTAGCAAATTTAAAAATATTGGATTTAAGAGATAACAAAATTAAAGAGTTGCCAAAGGAAATAGCTATGTTGCAACATTTGATTCGGTTGGATTTAACTAATAACGATTTAACCAGCTTGCCAAATACGTTGGGGCTTTTACCGCATTTACAAAACCTTCAAGTTGAAGGGAATGTTTTGAAAAATATACGACAAGATATTATAAAAGGAGGGACGAGTCGAATATTAAAACACTTAAGAGATAAATTGAATGAAGAAGATATGAAAGTTTCACCATCTCACGCTTTTAAACCTTTACCTGTAGAAACTTCGGAATTTCCAAACAAATATGTGATGAGAAATTCTAGATCGTTAAACTTAGGGATGAAAGATTTGACCTCAATTCCAGATACAGTTTTTGAAGATGCTTTAGCTGCAGAGGTGACTATTGTTGATTTGTGTAAAAATAAATTGGCAGTTGTTCCTGAAGGGTACATTTTAATTTATTATAATATAATAAATATGATTTGATTTATGCTTTTATTTAGATTAAAACTGGTTTCACAAAATGTTTCTGAACTGAATTTAAGCGTCAACGTTTTAAAAACTGTTCCTGATTTTTTATGTGATTTCGTCCGGCTTCAATTTATCGATTTTTCACGAAATTGTTTAACTGAGTTACCAGAAAGATTTTCTATATTAAAAAATATGCGTGAATTAATTTTATCAAATAATAGGTAATAATGTCATAAAGAAGAAATTGCCCATAAAACATTTTTTTTTTATATTTAGATTTACTTCTGTACCTAATTGCATTTATGCTTTGCAAAACCTGGAAATACTATTAATTTCTGATAATCAGGTCACAAATATAAACGTGGATGGACTAAAACAATTACAAAGGCTTGCAACCCTTGATTTATCAAATAATGATATTGGAACAGTTCCGCCGGAATTGGGAAATATGAAACAATTAAGGTAAATTTACATTTTCTATTTTAACTTGTTAATTGAGTTTTAAATGTTTTTAGACATTTAGAATTAAAAGGAAATAGATTTAGACAACCAAGGTATGCAATTTTAGAACAAGGAACAGATTCAATACTTGCCTATTTAAGAGATAGGATTAGGAAGTAAATTTTCAAAATAAGCCATAAATTTAAATTTTTAAATAGTTCGAGAACTTGCCATTTCAGAAATCTAAATCTAGTTATTTCTAGTCAGAATAAAATGTTGATGAAGTTGTTAATACTTTGATATTATTTTTTTTGTTTATATTTTTGGCAGCTTTGTTATATTTAAGGTGATGCATTTTGATTTTTATTTAATTTGTTGGATTCACTAATACATAGGAGATATTTTTATTTTACTCGATTCATATTGTGTTATTAGATGTAGTTATTAAGAGTTTAGAGTTGGATTAAATACACTGAATTAAGGAGATTGGAATATATTTATTAAGGTCAAATATTTAGCAGTTACATTTATAAGTAGCATGCTTTTGCAGTGTGTGTGTTTTGATCAAGTTTAATAAACATTTTGGAATTAAATAAATAATTATTTATTTTAGTCACCTTTTAAGTTATAATTAGGTTGTAGATATTAAATAAAAAACGAATTTAAAATGGAGAGAGCTTTATTTGTGTAACATAGCTTGACATATGACACGTATTTATCTATACATATATGGGGCTGAGTATTACACTGACAGACATTATGAAATATATACAGATGTTCAGTACTGAGAGCAGGGCACGACTCATTCCTACAAGTAAGGCATAACGAGGGTTCTTGGGAAGGCCAAACAGAACATACACTCCCTTTGGGTTACTTTATTTATTCTTTTTTTTTGTATAGATTTTTTTATTGGTTTGTTTCATAATAATTTACGTGTTGCGGGGATCGGGGATGAACGTGTAAATAACACGTTAAATGAGAGATTCAGTCAGAAGCGATGCGAAGAAAGTGAATGAAGGCCGCGCCAGCGCGGGGTGGCAAGTTCGGGGCGCCAGCGCCTTATTGCCGTACACGCCACCACTGCTGCACCTTTTCGGTCAGCTTCCTGCAGAGGCCCAGCAGCCTCCGTCACATTGGGGCCTCCGCTTCGGCTTCACCTTCTTCAAGCGTCACTTGTAACCTAATCCCGGGCTTTTGAGGGTCCGGCGCCTCCTCCGCTGGCGGACTCGGCGGTATCATGCTTTGGTACCAGTCGCGGTTTTCTTCTAATGTATCCAGGATGTCTTGTGCGTCTGGGTGGACCAAATCTGCCCAAGTCTCCCATAATGGATGAACGATATAGTCGATGAAGCCCACTTGGGTTTTCTCTATAGTCGCGGAGTGTCTATCACACATCGGACTAATATCCATATGGGCTTCCCTCTCTCTATCGCCCTGTCTGAAGAATTCTTCCATTAGGAGATCCACCCACCTCCTGTACAAAGCTAAGGGTTTCGTAGGGTTGCTCAAGTCGGCACAATGAACTAGATTCTCTAATACTTGTATACGATCCGTGTAGTTATCTAGCAATAGAACACCAGAACCGGCTACTTTTTTGGTCTCAACCATCGTCTTTAAATCGGCGAGGAGACTCATGTGCTTTGACATATCAGTACTAAGCACCATATCGATAACCATTTTTCTTACAGTTTGCCTTTGCTTTTTGGCCATGTTGCAGAATATATCGCAACCATCGTTCTGCAAAAGTTTGAACGCAACGGCCAGATGATGATTTTCGAGCACGCTCTCGTCGTTATACATTAAGGCAAGTTCCGAGCTGGAGTTGATGAGAAACTGATTTGTGAGGCCAGGGTGATCAACGTCGTGAATACACGCTGCGAAAAGTGCCGCCATTATTTCCAATGGAGTGAACACCGATTCCAAAGCAGGGGTGTTCAACAAGACGTGGGTACTCTGGGTCACATCGGCAGCATGCATCGAATTGTGAAATGGGTTGTCTTTAACGTAGTGATCTTCGAGTGTCATCATGAAGGTCACGAAGGTCTTTGGCGGGATCATCAGCTGTTTGAGAAGGTCTCTCGAGGTGAAGGTGGTGTAAGCCACACAAGTCAATGGCCGTCCGTTGCTCAGTTCCTCGATCTTGAATATATCGATTCCCCAACGATCGATCTCTATCAAACATTTGCCCAACATATCTTCATGCGGAGTTTCAACACCGTGAAGCGGAAGTCTCTCGCCGGTGAAGGAATTCGTGTGACACAACGGCTTTCTATTAATGCCAGATATTTGGGACATCGTTGTGTGAGGACCCCTTGGCCTTTCTTTACGTGGTACTGCTTTTGAAACATTCTCGCTACCTTCATCAATTCGCAAAGATGGTATATCCAATTCTTGTTGTTTATCTAATAAATAAAATGGAAATTAATAAAAATTTGTTCATGTTGCTTTATTTTGTTTCTTATTTTGGCAATAGTTTACTCACCAAGAAATGTGGAGCAGATATATTCAGATATTTGGTTGCCAGATTTGCTGGATTCTGAGAAATGGGACAGTTCCTTGTTTAGCATACGTTTGAACTGTAACAAAATGGAAAAATCCATTAATATTAATGTTTCGGTACATTTAGGGTGATAATGTATGCAGTTATGCAGGGATAATAAATCATCATAAAACGTAACTGTCGGCAGTAAACAATCAAAGATGGTAGTTGAGGCACGAGGTGTGTGGGCGACGAATAACTTTAAACGGCTACGGTAGTCGACAAAAACACATTATGCAAAACTGAACAATCAACGCTTCGGCTACGTTCTAAAGTAATTGCATTTTTGCCGTACAAGTTTAACGTTTGTAAACATCATCCTAAAAGTACCAATTAAACTTTTAATTAAATCGAAAGATTCTAACTTTTTTACAAAGTTATACTCTGGGGACTAGAGAGTATCTTTTCGTGCACTTGATAGATTTCAGAAAAGCTTAGAGTAAGGCATATTGGAATATCGAGGGTCATTCAAAAGAACCTTTTAGATGCTTAGGGTTGCTGGACGATGAATACATCAATTTTTATATCTTTTATTAAAAAAATGCCACCTTTATATAATCGACTGTGTGCAATTTTTGGCATCTTAGACTTCATATGGAAAAAAATAAGTGATAAGCACACAAGATTAATAAACATTTTAAAGCGTGCGCAAATGGAATACTATCTTATCATGTCTAATTATTTTGAATATTTTTCTTGCCCCTCTGATAATACATGTTAAAGGCTTAAAGGCCTTACATTTATGGGTACTCAATTAAAAACAATTGGAGGTAATAAAAGCGATTTGTGCTATCTATTTTTAGTAAATCGTTTAATAGAACAACGTTGGCGTTTGTAAAATGCCAATTCATTTAGTGCAAAAGATATAAATAAAATTGAATAATTTTTTTGTATTCTTTTATCTATAAGTTAGGTTAAATTTTCTTTCTTTTCTATCAATATCAACGAACTACGATAACTATCGACAACAAAGATTGAATAAAATTATCTCGAGAATCGTGATTAAGTTACATCATAAGAGCAAGGTTAACTATACCTCGAGAGGAAAACCGAGCAATGTGAAGGCTAAAGACAAAAGTAATGTGCTTTATTGCCGGGTAACATGATAGTCGCCCAACAGGTTGTTTCAGAATGGTTTGTCCTTAAGACGTCAGTAATTGGTACTCGCATCATTGGAACTTATTCTCTCAGTCCAATAAAATGCTTAAGATACAATCGAAAAATACAAAGAATCCATTTATATTCACCTTAATTTCAGCCACAGCAGCTGAAATCGCTATATCAGCCATTATTGAAAGCCACGGTACGTTATCAAATAGTTTTTCCGAAGACGGTGGTATCCTATCGATGATATCCTCATCCGGAGATGCCATTCTTTTGCGCAGAGCAGACTTATCGTCAGTGTACATTTCCGCACAAAACAGTTTTTGAATTATTTTTTTGAGAAGTTTTTGAATAATGTCTAGATAAAACCGAACTTTTATTTTTAAAGAAAAAATACAAATAGAAGTCACTTTATTAAATTATCACAGTGGAAACTGATCTAATCGTCGTTGTACGACCGACTATATCCTATCGCACTGAGATGGTTGAAGTGTACTGAGCGTGAACGGGAAACGCGATCGACTTAAATATGCGCTTTGAGCGGGCATGGTGGGCGACAGAGAGAGACTCAAACCGATACGCAGCTTGCGTTTCAGGAAAACCGTTTAAATGCTCGATACTGGGTACATTTGAATCACGTAGCTAAACGTATTGGCACTATTCGTATATTCCTAAGTATACCTGTTTGGATAATTGGTTGTAACTTGGGAAATACTATTCAATTATGATGATACAAGGAAATTTTCTTTTTTAATTTGGAAAATAATCTCCTTTCTTTTTATATTTATATATTATATGAAGTGATTCCTGTCTAAATTAAACGAATATAAGTATCAATAACACTTCTCATTTTATGTGAAATTAAAAACACCACTTATGCACTATAAATCTCATTGTATTAATAAGTAACGAAAGTGAGTATTCATGTATTTAAAATTTTAAAATTATTATGAATTATTTAAGTTGTTGTTTATAATAGAATGAAGTAAATTAATTAAATTATATTTGTTACTTTATCTTAAGTGCCAAGTAAAGGATTTTATTTTAATTACAGTTTCATTGACGTCAGAAATGTTGAGTTGGTGAATACAGATGCACAACTACATCAAGTAATTTATAATTTTCTTAAGCTGTTTCTATATTAAGAAAGATTATTGAAATTATTTCAAGCAGCTGTACTCTTAATGTAAGGATATATTTGAAACGTATTTTTTTCTTTTAACATTGTCACCTTATTCGATAATTGAATGCAGTGAATTTAATCAACTGAGATTCAATTGATTGTTGATTTGTTTTTAATCGTGAAATGTTTCAAGAAATATTTTCCAGGCTACAAAAAAGTCTTAGTTAATCTTAAAATTTTGATTAGCCAATATTTTTTTTCTATTTTTCACTCCATGTTTTTTAAAAGCTTTTAAAACTATACATTTTGTAGTAAACAATTTTTTTACTATAAAAGAAAATTCCCCGTTACTTGGCATGTTTTTAAATTACTGTGTATAGATTCCTACTAAGAAGATTTGCACGAAAATTATTTATAAAACTGTCTAAAAGGTTAGGATAAAATGAAGTAAATTAAATCGATTGTGATTGTTTAATCTGAGTACATTTAAGTACATTAACAACAATGTATGTATATTTAAGTGAAAATTAATTGGGAAGTAATACCAAACAACGAGAAATTTCCTTTTACGGAAAAAATTTATTTACCACAAAAAATATACTTATAAAAATGTTCTTTTAAAAGCTTTTCAAATTTTTCTTCGAACATGGGAATGAAAAATAAAAGAAATATGGCGTAAACAAAATTTTAAGATTGATAAAGAATTGTTTGTAGCGTAGAAAATATGCAATAATTGAATGAGAGTTTTCCCAACAAAAATTCGAAAAGCTATTAAAAGAATATTTTTATATCTTTGTGGTAAACACATTTTTTCCGTAAAAGGAAATTCCTCGTTGTTTGGCACTGCTTCCCAATTAATTTTTATTTAAGTATATATTGTTGTTATTTTAAAACAAAAGTGTAGAATATATATCATAACTACGTCATTAAATCATTATAGATCTTAAATTCATTATATGAATTATAATCAGTGCTCTTAATTTATCATAAATATAAAAATACATTCTCTACTATGATTCAAAGCTTAGTTTTAAAGCTCCCGAAGCTTCAATTGTAAAATATATAAGATTGTATCTTGTATGATTCGTTGAAGATGTTTTTGCCGAAAAGACTTAATATGTGACAGTCATTACAAATAATACATAAGGATTTATTGTTTTATACAGTTATAAAGTAAGAAAAATTTCTGCCTTCTCCTTAAACTACTTCACCACTAATGCAAATTGATCTCAACTACTACGTATGTTGTTGATACGACTTGGTCAAGTTGTTTTAACATATTTTCATTCACCACATAAATATTTAAATGTTTTGCATAATAAAATTATGTAAGCTGAAGTTTATCTCTTGTCACGTCAGTGCTGAAGGCTCGTTAAAGGTGTTGAACCATTACTGATACTAAATTAAACAAACGTTGGCAGACCACAAAGCATCATGGAATACTTGTAGAATTACATTGTGAAAATCGCAATTCCATTCAAAATATTTCCTGTATTGCCAGATTACCAAAGGTGTCGGATTGCATCCATAAATAACAATTGAAAATTTTGCTATAAATCTTACATAACATTAGTGACATCTTCTTACTAATTTTTATCTTTTTGATAAAAGTGAACTATCTAGAAGTGGTTTGATAATGTCTAAGAGGATATATTGCCTATTATCTTTCCTACAACTCCGAAATCCAGAGAGATTTTTTCTTTATGCATTTTATGCAAAATTTTTGCGGACAAAACTATTTCGTCAAATTAGTAATCCTTTTTGTTGTTTATATTTTTCAGAGCTTTCTGTATCCTGCTTGTGAGCTATCTTACTTTGGATAGGGTTTTACAAATTGTTTGCATCATGTCCTATTATTATTTTGACGTCTTATTTTTAAATTTCATTTCCATAAACTTTTTCCAGAAGTTCAGCAACATCAAGTATATTTATTAGTCCTCCAGCATTTCATGACGAGGAGCATGACAGAATGTGTTAATACAACATTTTCAATTTTCTTGTCTTTTACGATTAGTCGAGTAGCAGTTAAAGAGGAGTTTTTTCGAACTTCATTGATTGTTCAACATTCTAAGGTACAAGGAAAAATAGTGCCAAGCTGCTTTTGATGTTGACTTTATGGTAATATTATGACAAATTTCTGATTATGTAAACACCTCTATTTGCTTCTCCCTATTTGGAGTAAAATCATCTCAATATCGCAGTTTCTTTGTCATTAACTTTCCATATGTTTAAATAGTTTGGCATTGCTAAACAAGGCATTAAGATTGTCAAAAAAATATTTTCTATTGTAGAGTTAAAAGAAAATTTTTAGTTTGCTTTGAGTTGCCCAATAACGGAAGTATTTTGGATCGTATGTAAACATTTATAAGTTTTTAGTGACTACAACTTTAATTGTTTTCAATTAATGTTTTTAGAAAATTACTAATGAAACATGACTAATGTTTAGGGACCCGACAAAGAAGACATTTTTAGAGTTTTTACAAATACTTTTCTGACTCACGTTTTTAAAGGTCATTAAAATTTTCTATGAGAAAATAGTTAAGTTAAAAAATCCTTTTTTATACACCTCAGACGAATTGTTATTTTGTGTCAATCGCTTTTATATAGAGAAAATCATTTTTAAATGAAAGTCATTAGAAACTACCCACATGTGCGTAATTATTTATAAACTATTACGGTTTTTTTAAGTTTCACATTATGTCTAAACATGTTTACTTGGTATTTCTTTTCATTATCATAACCATCAATTAACTTGTTTTTTCTTTTTTATTAAAAAATAAAAATATTTTGACAGAAAAAACCATAATTTT